AGTATTTGGGGGTTTTTTTTGGCGTTTAATCTCACCCCCTTGCACAAAGCTAAAGAAACTCGCTCCGTAACATCTGCCATGCATTGGTTACATTACCTTAATCTTTTGTATAATTTCATTGGTAAACAACAGAGTTATTTAGAATCAAGAGTAGGACTCGTTTGATTTTTCTTTGACAAGTAGAACTTCAGTAGTCTAAATGAAATGTATAAATGCCGCGGTAAGGCCCGGAGCTTGTGCTTGCTGGCTTTAATTTTAGATCCTTTTTTTCTGTAATTTTAGCTCTTTTTTTCTGTTTAGTATTTTTGTCAAAGCAAACTATTTTGTATGACTTTTGTTGACTTGTGACTTCTGGTGGCTGAAGTATACTCGCCTTGAATTACCGGCTTAGCGAACTTAGGTTACGATCAGAAATTGATATTAAGAGCCGAAAATTGTTAACTGGTCAAACATAGTATTACAAAGGTAACAGTGCCACAATACAGTTCTATGGAGATTGCAACATCTTTTTGTTTTTTAATCATATCTCACAATATAACATAATATCTTATAACCATTTCAATATCGTGTATTTACATTATGTTTTAACGTATATAGTGAAATTCGCAATCACATGATTGGATAGGGGATTGTGTATAATTACATGGTAGATGTTGCATTTTAAGGAACCAACAAGATGCTGTTCAGGAAATTTTTAAGTAATTGTATCGGTGATTGTAACAGACGTACGCACACTATTCTATTACTTGGCAGCGTGATGGTTTTTATAATTATAAAATTGAAGGTTTCATATGTAATGAGTAAGTTTGCGGTAGCACCACGCGAGAAGAAACTATTGTGTGAGTTTGTGAGGTTCGGAAAAAAAGAACCGGGGGAGACGCAACGTTTCGGACAGAACGCTCTGCTTGTCGTCAGGAGACTGAGGGATTTCAACGGTTGTTGGTAGTTATGTAGGAGAACTTACCCACCACAGTTGACATCTCAGTCTTACAACATAAATTACAAAATTTTGTTAAATTGTGCTGTCGCACAATTATTGTGATCGCTGACTTTATCGTGCAAACCGACAAATCCTATCAAAGGTACCGTAGTGTAATGAGCTTCATAAGAACAGTTGAATTTTGGCTTATCTACAATCAAAATGAATTGTATATTAGAATTAACACATAAGTTAGTAATACATAATGTAATTATGGTTGTATATAGGTAAGATTGATTTTGTTTGTAAAAAAAAATCACGTATAATGTTGTTAAGACATTTTGCCTCATTGCTTAACGGCATGAATTCGTTTAATTAAATTGCAAACTAAAACACCTAGCGTGAAGCTTTTGAACAAACTATAAATGCTCTTTAGCAACAATTTATAGTGTAGACACGTTATAAACATTTTAAAATGTTTTAACGAACATATGCCAGATTCATCACTCAGATACCCATACATCACAGAGGGCCTGAAGTAGCCGATTTAATTATGCAGCTGCTTGTAACTGAAATAGACTATTTAAAGCGAATTATTGTTGTGCTTCTTAACTATGGCGGTACATCTGTAAAGTTTTTTTGTAATATGCTTTATGCATAAAATCTTTCTAATACTGTAGAGAATAGTTGTTTGCCTTATTGCATAACTGAATGGTAAATGGTGGATTTGAGTTAATCCATAAGTGTTTATAAATTGTAATCATGGTGGTATCGGCAACGTTATTTGCATATTATTGTTAATGTTAACACGTTTAAATGCTTAGGATATTCGTTGTTTGCCTTATTGCTTAATCGCATGCATTCGTTTAATATATACACTATACAATCTGGTGTTTAACGTTTTAACACATTATCAGCACTTTTTTGCAACAATGTATTAACATTTGAACACGTTTAATGGATGGAGACTCCATTTACAATACGGTTAAAGGCATACTACGTTAGATTTCTCAGATTCATGATTCAGTTATTCATGTTTTAGAATTACAACCGTAACAAATCCGCTTCAAGTTTTACAGCCTCTATAACTGACATTTGTCTGTCGGGAAAACAAAATTAAATGTTCCATCAACATTATGAACGCATCGTTAACGTACTGTTTAGAAACACTCAACTTCTTGTTTGAATTACAAACGCTGGTGTTTTGGGTTCAAAAACGCGTTCAGTGTTTATTGTTTTAAAGTGTGGCACTCAACTTTGAAACATTTTAAAGACACGAACGTTTAGAAGTCAAACAAAATGTCGTGTTCCTAAACAGCGCCGTATAATTAGGCATTTCCGTGGCGGTTATAACGTAAACATAAATGTGGGTCTCTGTAATATTCATACTTATTTGTAAGATACTGTAGTATGTTTAGTGTTGTTAAACAGTTTAACAAATTATTAACAAAGACGATACTGATATAGCCTCATTGCTTGACCGCGTGTATTCATAGATAACATGGTGAATATTAATGTACTTTTATGATACTCTCTATGTATACTATTTTAAATCATTAACGTATACATTGCTTGTTAGCCTCATTGCTTGACAGTGTGCATTCATAGATAACACGATGAATATTAATGTACTTTTATGATACTCTCTATGTATACTATTTTAAATCATTACCGTAGACAATGCTTGTTAGCCTCATTGCTTGACCGCGTGTATTCATAGATAACACAGTGAATATTAATGTACTTTTATGATACTCTCTATGTATACTATTTTAAATCATTAACGTAGTCATTGCTTGTTAGCCTCATTGCTTGACAGCGTGCATTCATAGATAACACGGTGAATATTAATGTACTTTTATGATACTCTCTATGTATACTATTTTAAATCATTAACGTATACATTGCTTGTTAGCCTCATTGCTTGACAGTGTGCATTCATAGATAACACGATGAATATTAATGTACTTTTATGATACTCTCTATGTATACTATTTTAAATCATTAACGTAGACATTGCTTGTTAGCCTCATTGCTTGACCGCGTGCATTCATAGATAACATGGTGAAAATTAATGTACTTTTATGATACTCTCTATGTATACTATTTTAAATCATTACCGTAGACAATGCTTGTTAGCCTCATTGCTTGACCGCGTGTATTCATAGATAACACAGTGAATATTAATGTACTTTTATGATACTCTCTATGTATACTATTTTAAATCATTAACGTAGACATTGCTTGTTAGCCTCATTGCTTGACCGCGTGTATTCATAGATAACATGGTGAAAATTAATGTACTTTTATGATACTCTCTATGTATACTATTTTAAATCATTAACGTATACATTGCTTGTTAGCCTCATTGCTTGACAGTGTGCATTCATAGATAACACGATGAATATTAATGTACTTTTATGATACTCTCTATGTATACTATTTTAAATCATTAACGTAGACATTGCTTGTTAGCCTCATTGCTTGACCGCGTGCATTCATAGATAACATGGTGAAAATTAATGTACTTTTATGATACTCTCTATGTATACTATTTTAAATCATTACCGTAGACATTGCTTGTTAGCCTCATTGCTTGACCGCGTGTATTCATAGATAACATGGTGAATATTAATGTACTTTTATGATACTCTCTATGTTTACTATTTTAAATCATTACCGTAGACATTGCTTGTTAGCCTCATTGCTTGACCGCGTGTATTCATAGATAACATGGTGAAAATTAATGTACTTTTATGATACTCTCTATGTATACTATTTTAAATCATTACCGTAGACAACGCTTGTTAGCCTCATTGCTTGACCGCGTGTATTCGTAGATAACATGGTGAATATTAAGGCTCTTTTATGACACTTTATGCATATTGATGTAATTATTAACGTAGACAACGCTTGTTAGCCTCATTGCTTGGCAACGTGATTTCAAGATAATATGGTGAACATTATTGTACTTTTATGATACTCTATGGGCTCAGTGCACCAACAAAGATGGCGCTTTTTTACCACTTTGAAAGCCCCGTGGACGGGACTTAATTAACGCGTGTGCGTACTGGTTGAGCGTGTACAACGTGAAGTATGCACGACCTATTGTGTTTTAATCGAATGTGCACAAAGACATAGCGTCTTCGGGTGAGCGTTGGGCGTCGTCGAAAAGGTGTTTTGAATGTCACGATGTTTGCGATCTCCACCAACTCGCCCTTTCTTGCCGATGAGGGGGCGCTTGTGCACGGAGTCCATTTGTATAATGTTGTTAGGAATTAATTTACTTAGACAATCGTTGTTCGCACTATTTCTTAGCATCGTGATTTTATAGTAACATGCTGAAATATTTCAATGTACTGAACATTTTAAAACTCTGGTTATGGATTATTACGAAATAAAATCGGTGGTATACGGTGAAATGTGTGGTGGACCTAAAACTGATTATGAAAAGCGCCCTCTAGAATACATGCATCCTACGCTGGATAAGGTGAACAAAAAGTCTGGTCTTTTTAGCGGAAAATCATCCGATAGGCGCAGGCTAGGCGGGATTATATGTCATACGGTGAAACATCCACTCATTTGTACACCAGTTTTCATCCATTGCTATTTGGTACCATTTATCCAGACTCAAGAACCATTCAGGTTCAAGAGCCAGTGCATTCTCTTGACTCGGATTGTAATTTGGATAATTTAATTTCAAATCATTCAATGATCTTTCAACCTGTGGGAAATCTTGCACGGTATTGGCTGAGAATAGCTGCCCATGCATCTTTCTTTTTTTTGTTAGTGTTTGCATCATTATACTTAGCATCAATAATATACTTTAATTCCTCATACTTGTTTGCCGTAAAGAGTTAGAACTCTGCTTGGGAATAATTTGGCTTCCTTGCCCTTTTTTACTTTATATGCAATTGCTAGGGAATTTGATGTTAATTCACGTACTTGCAGTATACGTTACCACCTATTGACTGTGGTAACTTTTTTCCTTTTTTTTGGTGCTAATCCACGGAAGTGCTGGACATGGATAAGCCTAATACACCTGTCACACTATTGTATCTGTTGTCATCACATTCCATACATGCCCACTCCATCCAAAGCACCCAATTTCAGTTACTCAGGTATGCAACTAAATTCCCCTAGTATGTAACTATATTTTAGCAAGGTTCTTAGTAAGGTTTCATGAATAACAATTTAGTTGACATGGTGCAGCCGTGTACAGCTGATTTATTTATTGCCAGCATTAGGTTTTGTATCTGAATAGCTACCAGCATCACCACTGCACACAGGTGAGTTTCGCTTTTGACATGTCTGACAATGACGCGAAGAAAGGCTTAGAAAAAGAGAACTAGAAAAAGAGAACTTGAACAAGCTGAAGTCGAAGTTGCAAATTTTCTGGGTAGGCCTAGCCCTATAGCCTGATGTTTTACATTATCATGCATGATTATAGTACTGGCAATACTTCATGTACTTTTAGCAATTCATGTAAGCCTTGTAACAGGCCTAGATTTTCTCATAAGTCCTGTGCAATCCCTTCCCAAGTTTAAAACTAATTGTGCACGATGTAATTTTCCAAATTATCATATAAATCAGTGATATAAGTCATGGAATGCCAACCAAAATGGTCATGATCAGCAATATTGTTTTTGTTCATCTTACAACAGGCCTAGCGTTTTTCCAAATACATGTATTTCATGGAGTGGACTGATGATGTACGTCAGTGGCCGAGGCTAGAATTTCAAGGTAATTTAAAAAGAAGGCACGGTCATTTACAGATTACAATTTACAGATAACTTTATTTTCAATAGGTTTAGAAAACTATGCACAATCATATTTGCAATAGAATTATGAATTATCTTTTGCAATTACTAGTCTGTCTACGGTCAGTTGCAGGATTTGTTTTTGAAGTTGCTTTATGTTTTTATTTTGTGATATGGATGAGGCTGCATATGTATACATTTTAGTAAATTTAATTATATCTTAATAAATATGTATTACCTTTTTACATGAAATATACATAAATTTTAATTCAATTCATTTATTATCTCAATAGTCTTCATAAGTAAATATTACATTTTTACATGAAAGACATGTGCGCTGTAAGTAAATTCAATTATTGTTTCAAAAAATATTAATAAACATTACAGTTGATTCTTTTTAATTTCAGATATTTATGACTTTGACATAAATGGACCTGCATGCGATGATCATCCCAATTTAAATCATCGAAGTATAAGTGAAGGGCTTAACTACCTTCATTCCGGATGGGTAGGAGCTATAAAGCATTGCTACAAAACTGTTAATAAGGACATTATTACACTGGCTGGTCAAATTCGCTTTTCCCAGAGGATAAACAACTTTCACAATGTTGAAGTAACAGTGAATAAAGCAAACAGGCAAATAGTTACTGTTAAATGTAACTGTACTGCTTCTAAGGGGAAATCCTGGAGCCATTCAGCTGGCCTTCTCTTCAAAATTGTGGAAGCTAACAAGTGTGGATTCACAGCCAGTTCATGTACGGATAAAGAGTGCATCTGGAATCATTCAACACAGGAAAATGTACTTCCAGACAGCATAAGTAATATCCTAGGGAAGAATGAATCCACCGTCAATACAAGTCTTGCATTTGATACTGATGAGCAACTTATGGACCATTTAAATAGTTCAACACTGAAGGAACTATCTGCAATACCCGGAACTATTTTAAATCCCCTTAAATCAGCCAAGCTATTGTCCCATCCCCACAACAAGCGCACACTACCAGACCATGAACTGCACAACACCAACATGGAGTGCCCTGCATGTCTCATGACTTATGAGAAATATGTGAACCTTTCAACTACTAAAGCTGCATTGCTTGCACAGTCTACAGTTAACCAAAAGTGTGGTCTGTGGACAACACAGAGAAAACTTCGAATAACAAGCAGCACAGCAGCTAGTGTTCCCAAGACAGTTGGCACAGACCCTGCCGAGTGGATTGCAAATCATTTGCATCCAACATTCTTAAGAAATTCCGCAACTCGTTATGGGCAAGAACATGAAGCGGTTGCACGTGAGCAGTTTGAGAGGGACACTGGTAAACATGTGGAAACCACTGGTCTGGTTGTCAATCCAGAAGAAAGCTGGCTAGGAGCCAGTTTAGATGGAATTGTTGATGAAAATACCATCCTTGAAATTAAGTGCCCCACACAACAGAAACTGTCTAAATATGGTTCTGTCCGTGGCTTGATAAATAGTGGACAGTATGAGGTGAGAGTTCAGCAAGATGGATGTTTCTATTTACGAGAGACAACAGCAGCAAGTGGCTATTACACACAAGTACAGATTGCAATGTTTTGTTCACGCAGGAAAATGTGCAAGTTCATGGTGTGGTCCCAGACTGATTATGTCATTGTAAATGTGATGTATAATGAAGAATGGGTAAATAACAGAATTTCACAGCTTAGAGAATTCTATTTCATACATCTACTGCCAGCCCTTACAGATAAAATTGCTAGAGGGGATCTACATATATAGTTGACTTACAAAGCTAAAATGGAATGGATATCTGCAAACAAACAAAAGCCAAGATTTAAATGATTTATGGTTTTAAGTACAAGTACATGTAAGCCTTACAAGTCAGGAAAACATCCACATGCAGAAGTACTCAGCAAAATATGTTATCTTCAAGTAAACTTGTATCCTCCACCCTTATTGGTCAATCCTTGGCAACAAGATATCACACTGTTGCATCAGTGTGATACACAATGTACATCCTTTCACACGTTCCCTATTCCAAGCTGCATGCGCAACAACCGCTAAAAGTTCTTGTTAAGCGTGCTAGTTCCAACACACATGCCCATTTTATACTGTGCATCAAGTTTACTTGAAGATAAATTTGTTACCCCGCTCTTGCTCGTAGAACACGGAAAAATGTAGTGTGTCTGTGTCCATAGACGCACTACATTATTCCATGTTACACACGCACTCGCGGGATAACTTTAAAAAGTATGAATATTTATTTTTATCAAATTATTTAAAATTTCAAACAGTGATGTAAATTTATTGGTGAGGTTTTGCACAGCGTATACATGTACCACCAGAAAAAAAAAATTGTGCAAAATTTAAAACTTGGTTTCATGGGGGTGTGAACTTAGTATTGACTACTTTGTAGCTAAGCAGGATAAAACTCAGTCCTCATCTTCAAACAACCATTCATCCTCAACATCATCATCCGACTCTGTGATCATTTCCTCAGTTTCAGGCTCTCCTTGAATTAGTAGCGGTTGTAGATTACACAAACCTGCACATACAGTGACAATGTTGTCCACATTCATGACACGTCCTGGGATAACTGTGCTTAGTATCTTGTAACACTTAAGGCATCTGATGGCTCTTTCCACATGTATACGAACATTTGAAAGTCTCCTTGTGCGTGTAACCTCCTCTTCTGGAAGTATATGGTCCTTGTAATTGCCAGTGGTGAAAGCTGGGATGGATAATTTCACCCCCGGTGGCAGAATGTCATCAATGGTAAACCCCTTGTCAGCAAGAACTTCACCAGGTTGTAAATGCTGTAAAATTCGTGAACTTTGAGTGATAAATTTGTCACTCGCACGCCCACCAAATAGTTTTGATAAGTACATGACAAAGCCATTAGGAGCAATACAATAAAGAAGCTTGAATGTATTGTGATGCTTATAATTTGAATAGGTCTGAGCACGTTGTTTCAGGTTCCGTGGTCTTTGTACAAACATTTCGGTACAATCTATTATACAAGTGGCCCAAGGATAGTGTTCCAAAAAGCATCTTGGTCTGATCCTTTGCAGTGTGTCCCTCGAAGGCCAAAATATCAAGTGTTCACGCATAAATCTTGCCAAGATGGGAATCCATTCTCTGAAAATCTGGCATGCTGTAGATTGGGAAACCTTAAAACGTGTTCCCAAGTCAAAGAAGAACAAACCAAGTCGGAGTCGCATCAACACAAGCAGAAGTTGATTGCAGAGCTTCATCTTGAAAGTTGGCACATTTGGCAAAATTGACAGGCATTTAACCAATGCCCAAAATACATGGACAATCAAGCCAGTATAGAATTTGCTCGTATCATCACCCATATCAGATGCGGACAGTTCGGGAGAGGTATCCGTCTGACATGTCTGAGTTGCTTTCACTTGGCTTTTTATGGGGCAACTGCGATTTTTAGCATATGTGTTATCTGCAGTGCTAAAATCATACCACTGCACTGAGGCGTCTTTACACGGTTGCTAAAGAAGCAGGCAGTATGGTTTCTCCACATACAGGGGAAGCATGTGGCATCTCGTGAACGGCATGCTCAGACACAGATTCTTGCTCTTGAATTGATGATTGCAGCTTAAAATCTTGTCTCATTCTTGGGGCATGTCTGCCAGAAGATAGTGGTTTCTGTAATGACAAAAATGTATACATGTACATTCATGAAGTACATGTACATGTACTAGCACCCAATAACTCCCATTATAAAGCTATGTAAATTTCAAACTATAGCATAACCACCCCTGGCTGAAAGGTAAGGTGGGAAATCCCTCAATATGACATGTAATAATTTCACATGGCTTATTCCAGCCACTGTTTAGAGAATATACTTTGTTGCTTAAAAATATTCAGACACCTGACCCTACTACAGCAACCTACAGGTTGTCAAATTATTTACCTATCAATGGATTAAACATATTTAGTAGTAATGTGCCATGATTTTAGAACTTACATGAGGTTTATATCCCATGTGCAGTGATGGGTAGGGGTTATTCTTTGATGGTTTCCCATCCTGAAAGTGGATTGAGCAAATCTGCAAAAAGAAAAAAAAATGAATAAATATAAAACTAAACCTAAACAAATTTATTTATTTGGTCAGATATATTGGCTTTGGGCAGCACTGCAGGTTAATATCCCTCCGTTCATTACCAAACACTTCAAAAAAAGGACAGTGCTGTTTTTTTTAATTTTGCAGGCTTTTAAACAATTTATTGGAATTTTTTTTTTTTTTGTAATTTCGCAAAAAAAGTAAACCACACTTCTTCAATAGCCTACGTGAAAAGAAGATATCCAGGCATTTCTGGATCAATTTCCCTTGAAATATGAAATAATGTACACCACAACATGTGTAAGCACACTTCCAAACTGGAAATCAACTTAAAAGACATTATGCAGATTGTCAGATTGAAAAAAAAAATTCGATACTTTTTCCCACATGTGATAGGGGCTAAAGATACACTATACACGTGGTACATGTACACGTGGTTTGGAAGAATTCCATACACAGACATCGTTAATTGTTTTCTGCAGTGATATACACCATAGAACAATTAACATGTCCTGATCAATAGGCTACAAAGCAATAGGGCCTAAAGTCTAAATGTGAAAACAAACATGACAAAAACTTGACAAAGTTCTACATTTTCAGGTACATGTTCCAACTTCCAAGTGTGGCCTATCTTTACGGAGGTAGTCCAGCAAATACTAAATTGGCCACATTTTGGGGGCTAAGATTAGAATTACCATCATGGCATTAAGCCTACATCACTTACCGTAACCTGACAATGCATAGGCATGCTAGTCTTTAGTCCGAAAATTTGGGACCTTCAATACTGTGTACTGATGAGAGTCCCAAAACTTTAGGTATTGAAAACATGCAAAACAAGAAAATAGACTGGCACCTAAAACAATCAGCCCAACACAGCTTCAGTACTGCATCAATCAACCATGCAAAAAGAATTTAAGAGACATGTGGCATGAAGCAGGAACTATAGTCTCAATTTACTACACATTTCTCCATAGTCAAGCCACCGGACTATTGACACTGAATGAAGAGGTTAGTCTTTTCAAATAGTTGGACCATGGTTGGACTTGTATCAGTTTAGTCGTTAGCCCAATTTTGAAATCACTTATAATAATAACAATAATTTATTCAATAAATAAAGCGCAAATTCCAATATGATTTTGTTCAAATGCGCTGTACAGTAATATATTAATTAAAATACAAGAAAATACACTCTAAAAATGTACCATGACGCGCTATTACACACATTAAAAATAAAAAAGTAACAGCAAAAAATTACTCGCAAGGAGCTTAAAACGACCCACCATTTCACATGTTAAAATACAAAGAAGTTACAATAAAATCAGTAAAAGGCCAACTTAAAAAGATGAGTTTTTAACAGAGACTTGAAGTTATCAACACTGTTAGCTCTCCTAATGTGAATCGGGAGGGCATTCCAGAGTGTAGGGGCAGCATTAACAAAAGCACGATCCCCAAGGGTAACTTTGGTACGGCGAAAAGGGTAGCCCAGGAGAGTGTCATCGTGAGAACTACGAAGATTGTAACGGGATGATGGATTCTTAATGATAAGTTGGCTAAGGTAAACTGGAGCTAGACCATAAAAACATTTATAAGTCAACAACAGAATTTTAAAATTAATCCTAAACCTCACTGGAAGCCAATGAAGATCAACCATTAATGGAGTAACATGACAATACTTATAAGACTTAAAAACAAGTCGAGCGCAGGCATTCTGTACTCGTTGAAGATGATTAATCTGACAGTCAGGTAAGCCATATAAAAGGCTGCTACAGTAATCTAAACGACTGGAAATGAAAGCATGAATCAAGGTTTCAGTACACTTAGTGGACAGGTATTTTCGTATACGTCTGATGTTATGTAAATAATAAAATGCACTTCCACAAACCTTTTGAACGTGAGTGTTCATTGACATGTACATCAAACCATGAGCCTAAGTTACGAGTAATGGGTGCAGGTGTAACCATACAATCACCAACATGAATGGAATCAAGGTTAACTTTAGACAACTGTTTGGGGGTCCCAATAATCATAAACTCAGTTTTACTGTCATTCAGCATTAAACCATTAGCCAACAACCAGTTACGTAAATCCTGAATACAGGTCTCCATAGCTGCTAAGGACGATCTTTGATTTTCTGAATTGTCAGTGCTGAAAGAAATATACAGCTGGGTATCATCAGCATAACAATGAACCTGTGGAAGATGGGTCTTAATGATGTCAAACAGTGGGCTTGTATACAAAATAAATAACAAAGGCTCAAGACAAGAGCCTTGTGGAACGCCATAATCAATGTTAAATTGCTGAGAGAGATTACCATTTATAGAAACACGTTGGGATCTACCAGACAAGTAAGAATGAAACCATTTAAGAGCAGTACCATAAATACCAAATTTACTCTGGAGGGTATTTAGTAAAATGTTGTGGTCTAAGGTCTGGTCTAACAAAGAAACCTGTTGTCTATCCATAGCCATTAATAAATCATTTCTTATCTTAAGTAGAGCCGTCTCTGTGCTATGATACTGACGGTAGGCAGACTGGGCAATGGGATACAATTTATACAACTCTAAATGGGCTTGTAACTCATCTGCAACAGCTCGTTCAACCAGTTTCGAAATGAATTGCAAATTACTGACTGGCCGGTAATTTTCAACTACTAAGCCAAGGCCAGTTTTTTCTTAACAACGGGGACACAAGGGCTGATTTCCATGTTGCAGCAAAATGGCCAGTGCGAAGAGACGTATTAATCATACTAGTGACAACGGGTAAAATAACCTCCAAACTTTCAATGAGCAGTCTAGTTGGTATCGGATCAAGAATACAGCATTTCTTACTGGAATGTAAAATGAGCTTACGAACTGAAGATTCTGAAAGCTGAGTAAATTCAGTGAGAGTACCAACAGAGGGTGACGTTGGAGCAGAAAGATTACATCTAGGCGAGCAGATCTCATTACTTAACCTAGACCGAATGTTGGCAATCTTCCGGACAAAAAAGGAACCCATATCATTGGCAAGAGAAATATCATCTAATCGAGGAGGCAGAACAGTAGGCTTGTCGAGGTTAAGAAGAGATCTGCTGGCCTTAAAAAATTTCCTTTGATCATGACTGTTGTTGTCAACAAAAGTAGTGTAAAACTCACGGCGAGCACGGTTCATAAGAAAGGTAACTTCATTTCTATGAAATTTAAATGAGTCTAAATCCTGTTGAAGATTAGAAAGTCTCCATTTACGTTCAGCTTTTCTTCTCTCCAGTTTGGCCGTCTTAATCTCATCATTGATCCACGGGACGCGTGGGCGGATTGTGATTGGTTTGGTTTTAAGTGGAGGGTGATGATCTAGCAGGTTACGTAACCTAATGTTATACAATTCAGAATGTACGTCGAGATCATCAAATGAGTCGCTACACAAATCAGAGGCAGATATATCATTCCGAAAAGCTTCCATATCAATGGGGTTGATTTTTCGAAAAGTTGTCTCTTTTACCGATAGAGATGGTTTACTCCAACGTAGGTTACACAAGATGGAATAATGATCAGAAAACAAGTATCTGGAGCGGGTGAGTCTTGGATGATAGACTCAGACTGCTGGGTAATTAACAGATCCAATGTGTGACCGTGAAGAAAAATTTGCTGGCTAAACTGTGAGTAAAGTTGGCCTCATTTAGTTTTGCACGTAGTTTCTGAGCACTCCAGAGCACTGTCTGGCTAGTCTTTTATTAATTAGGCCTAATAAGTAATAAAGTTAAACTAGGCCTACACTTGTCAGTTTATCAGGTAATTTAAAAAGGTGTGCATACTCACCCTGCTATTTTTAGTTGGCTCAAAGTCCTTTCTATTAAGGTTTTTAATCCAATTATTACGGCTGCTGAAGGACCACACCTCACAGTCACTGCCGGCGGGAAATCTGTGTAGCTGCCATGGTTTCACACAGGACCATTCACGATGAGACTTTGGAGAGTGCAGATCGCACACCGATGTTTTCCACTCAGACAGCTTTTTGCTGCTATTTTTGCAGCCCACCACCGCACGAACTTTTCCTGAATTTCCCGAACTCATTTCCTCTTTGCCTCTAATTTGGTTTACTTGAAATCTGGAAATGAGCTTAATTATAAACGGAAATATCTCAAAAATTGACTTTCGCCAATGTATCTGTGCACAAAATTTGACAAAAATGCGTCCCAGCAATGGCGGATTTGACGAGCGCCACCTTGTGACAAAAATACAGCGGTGCCGATAACGCGCGTAATGGATTTGTCTATACTAACCATTGATCTCCATACACAGATACTAACCATGATACTAATAACAGCATGTGGTATGGAAACAAATAGCGCCACCGGGTGATTCACAATACAGTGCGCCACCAAGAGTTTGCCGTGGAGAATACATTTTAAAACTTTACCGTCGACACATCACGGCCCATTTGAATAAGTGTCAGTAGACAACTTGAGCTAATTTGTTATAGATTGGGGCATATCGTTCTGCCGCCTTACAACAAAAACCACTGTATTGATAAAAAGATAAGAAAACGGCAAACAAAATACTCGAACCATACGTTGGATACGGGAAAGTCTATGGGAGACGACGATCAACTCCTAACAGAGATGAGGAAGGGTATGAACTGTCACACAATGGACCCCCCTCATACCCCAAGTACCACCCCGGGGGAGGACACAAGCGGCCAGACCACCATCTAGTGGCCGCAGCAGGAAACAGCGCCACCAACCGGCTGGTGGTGCTTCGTTCTGAGGATGAGAGTACCAAAATGACTTGATACCTCAGACCACATTCAACGTAACAGAAATGTACAGCAATTGGACTTAAACTTTGTGCAAAATCGGCCGTCCCCTGATACTTGCAAGTAGCAAGGCCCTTCATAGGCCGAGGAGAATGTTGTTTATTCACTCGTCTTCAAAGAACGCATTAAAACCTCCAAGGGTGAAATCTACATTTCCCTATTCTTAAATTTTTGGACGTTATATTGCAATACTCTGCTCTTTGACAGATTCGAATGCTCGGAGGTTTTAGTCTTGTGTGGGAAAACAAAAACATATGCAATAACTCCCGTGACTTCATCATATTTATTTTCAACAAAACACCTGGATCCAAGCATGATTGGAGATGCTTCAACGACTTCCGCCTGTGACATCCAAAATACATGTACTGTTTCAATACACTGTTTTTAGAACTAAATCCTGCTATAGTCAATTTCCCTATTCATCTCGATATTAATTCCAAATTGATTAAAATTTTCTATCATTTTCTTGTATTATAGTAATCAACTGATCTTCTGTTTAAAACTCTGGCATGCCAGTTGCCATAGAGAAAGCCAAGGTAAAGATGATACAAATTGAAGACTGTTCTATACCTTTGAAGGCAATACCGGGCGAGTCAAAAAAAACGGAACCCAAACCCTAAGAAATACAATATATATTTCATATTTAAAAAAATATGTAGCACCAAAAATAATTATGACTGGTAATCCAATTTAATAAACTACTTTTAGAAGAACAAATTACTGCAATTGCTCAATCCGTTCAAATTATATCACCATTTAAACGAAATGAGCCTAAAATCTGTTTCTCCAAAAAATGTGATTTCAAGAATTGCCGTTACTGACAATTGTCTTCAAACATCACCAGCGATAAAACCTCACTTCAAAAGTTAAAAATATTCACCAAAGTCCTTTTGAAGGCCCGTCTTTAAAAAAAAGTGCATTTTAAAAATCTTATTGTTAGCCCAAGCAGGGTTAACCACTCGTGGTGGCTAAAAAATAAAGCTTTTCATGAAAGAAAAACACACAAAAGACATTGATTTTATGCACGATTCAACAACCTGTATTATTTATGGCTTGCATAGTACACAGCTAACGGTTGCTTTCCTCCAAATGTGGTAAACTTTATATTCATACGCGACAGAATTTCAACGAATGATATTGCACTTTAAAAATCCATTATTTTCATTGTTGATAGTACATGTAGTAGGCAATAGGCTTTGCACAAATTCCTTTCCAATTTTTCCTTATAATGCGACCATCAGGCAACTAACTGTAATAGATCTCTCTCAAATGACGTCACTGCATACACATTGCCATCAGCATTTTGGGAGTCCAATTTGATGCTCATCGGCTGCGCCGTGTTTCGAAGAAATTTAGAGCAACATACACGCGTTTAGATCATTTTGCACACTGCGTGTATACGCACCTGATGTCGTTGAATACGCAGTTGCAATATGCCTACAAAGATGGCTGTCTATGAGAGGGGTCTATTATGATGAACGCACAAAGTATCCTATGCCGTGCCAAAATCTGTAGGCAGAGAGTTTTCAGGACAACACCCAAATATAAGAACTTGATATCAGGTCCACTATTTGACCTGAATCTTTCTGATTTTACGATTGTGTATCTCAATTGCACTGACTTGCAATGGCCACATACCACCTATGATCCCCGCTTGAATTGCAACCCCATACACTACAGCTAACTCCGGATCAACTTCTACATTGGGAGCCTTACTGAAAAAATCCGCTACAACTTGGCGAACTCGGGGAATCCTTGTGGATCCACCCACGAGGACTACCTCATCTATATCGGCAGGAGTCATCTCCACCTCATCTAGAACCAGTCGGATTGGTTGCAGCACCTTCTGAAAAAGGTCTTCATTTAAGACTTCAAATTTCTTTCTGGTGAGTTTCTCTGTGAAAATCACATCATCTCCTATGGAAGGTAACGGTAACTGCAGCATTGAGGAATTGTGGCTTGTCAGGTTGAGCTTGACGTCTTCAACTGCAAGTCGTAATCGCTGCAAATCCCTTGCACTCAGTTCCGGTTGCCCGTATCTCCTAGCAATCATATCTGAGAAGTACTGCATGAGGCGATAGTTGATATCTTGTCCTCCCAGATGATTGTTACCTGCATGGTAAATACTTTGCATTGGTCTGAGTTGGGAGGTGTTTAAAGCATGTAGGATCATTGTAAATTACCTTTTGACTCATATTCAGATGCAATATTATACTCCAGATTGAGCTTGTCAAATGTACTGAGATTCTGAGGCGAGGTATTATCTGACAGGTTTTTACAGCTCTGAAAAAAATTCTGCTCCAGCAATTTTAACCTATTCTTGCACAGCTTTTGATTCTCTCTGCAAAATTGGATTGTGAAACTATGAATCTTGTTTTTACAGAAATCCCACAACATCCTCTTCGACAGTTCATGCTTCAAGTTCGAACTAGACATGTCATCCAAGAGTTGTTGGATACACATGATATATCGATTGTCCTCAAAAACGCAGTTATTCATTTTCCAGTAACCAGGGCCTCTGTCAATTTCATTGACATTAATATCAATTAATACAGCACTGTGATCTGAGCGAGGTAATGGAATAATATCACAACGATCGATTGAAGGGATCAGGATGTGATCAGTGAACCAATAGTCAAGTCGGCACATAATCAATGGATTTTTTTGCCTCCATGTATATTGTTTCTTGTCGTGATTTTTGGTTCGCCAAACATCACTAAAATCAAGACTTTCCATAAAAAATATACCTCACCAAGAAATTTGGCACTTGGGCACTGCTTGCGATTACCTCCATACTTGTCAATTTTGGGCTCGAGGGTGACATTGAAGTCACCACCAACAATTGTATACCCTGGATAGTTACACGCAAGCATAACTTTACATAAACGGTTACAAACTGAAATTCTCTCTGTACTCGAGCAGGGAGCATACACATTCCAAATATTGTAATCTGAACCATCAACAGACAAACTAATTCCAATAAATCTGTCATATTTATCACAATAGACATCATTGATAACAGCACCATAATGTTTCTTAATCAGAATGAGCAACCCTTTACTTTTGTAAGAACCACAACAAGGGATCATATCTCCTCCCCACTCATGTTTCCAATGGTTAATATCATTCTGGATACAATAAGCTCCTTGAATTAATGCAATGTCAACATTGTGTCTTCTCAAATAATTCAAAACTAAGTGTCTTTTTATGCGGTTTCTTTTTCTGTGTTGCGCACTTGGAACACAGAAAATGTAGCGTGTCTGCATCTAATATTAGTATTTAATGTCATATTTTGTTTTGTGTCATATTTAGTTTTTTAACTCGGTTGGCCTTTAACTTTTTAAAAATGTATTTTTTTTTAAATGTAAATCATGTGCAATTCAGCTGTGGCTGCTATTCATGATTTGTTAATAAACCATGTTGAATTGAATTGAATCTCAGATTCCATATGTGGTATGTGGGACACAGACGCACTACATTATTTCGTGTTCCACTCACACAGGAGGGATCACTAATAGTAAATCAATGAGAAATGAACTCCTACCTGCCATGGCTAATGTCTGGAACATTCCACCATATACACTGAGTAAAGAGACGTCCAATGTTCCTCCTCCCATATCCACCACGATGATTTCCGAGGCATCCTTCTGGTTATGCAGTCCATATGCCATGGCTGCTGCTGTTGGTTCGTTAATAATCCGCATGACTTCAAGACCTACATTGAGCGACAAATAGCATCAATTAAAATTTCAATCTGCAATGGCTTCCCTTTCCATTTCCAATAAGTTTGGTTGATGGAGGAGGGCCACTGACCAGCCAGGGACCGGTCCAACTAATATGCGTCTTCAAGCTACAACTGGCGTGAACAAACATCAACGGTCGTCAACCCAGCGTCAGCATATTTTGTATAGGTTTTTAAACATCAGAAGTAGCTTTATAAAGTAGAAATAGTGACAGAGAACATCTTCAGCATATCAATTATAGTTAAAATTATTCAAAAAGTTGTTTTTTTTTCAACGCGAAACCTACGACGAGTTTGTCGATTCAGTGTTGGTCATCTTGTTCACGTGAAGCCGAGATTTAAACAAAATGGCGGCCAATACTAAATCGACACACTCATAGGTTTCGCGTTGAAAAAAACCCCCCAACTTCATAAATAATTTTAACTTTAATTTATATACTGAAGATGTACTCTGTCGCTAGTTCTACCATATAAAGCTACTTCTGACGTTCAAAAACGTATACAAAATATGTTGACGCTGGGTTGACGCTTGTTGACGCATTTTAGTAGGACCCGCAAGGGATAAGTCCTTCTCACCTACCAGCCAGGTACCAGTCTTATCCACATACCACCAAGGTACCAGTCTCACCAACCTACCAGCCAGGTAGCAGTCTTATCCAAAGATCACCAAGCAACCAGTCTCACCAACTTACCAGCCAGGCAGCAGTCTTATCCACATACCACAAGGTACCAGTCTCACCAACCTACCAGCCAGGTAGCAGTCTTATCCACATACCACCAAGCAACCAGTCTCACCAACCTACCAGCCAGGTAGCAGTCTTATCCACATACCACCAAGCAACCAGTCTCACCAACCTACCAGCCAGGTAGCAGTCTTATCCACATACCACCAAGCAACCAGTCTCACCAACCTACCAGCCAGGTAGCAGTCTTATCCACATACCACCAAGGTACCAGTCTCACCAACCTACCAGCCAGGTAGCAGTCTTATCCACATACCACCAAGGTACCAGTCTCACCAACCTACCAGCCAGGTAGCAGTCTTATCCACATACCACCAAGCAACCAGTCTCACCAACCTACCAGCAAGGCAGCAGTCTTATCCACATACCACCAAGCAACCAGTCTCACCAACCTACCAGCAAGGCAGCAGTCTTATCCACATACCACCAAGCAACCAGTCTCACCAACCTACCAGCTAGGTAGCAGTCTTATCCACATACCACCAAGGTACCAGTCTCACCAACCTACCAGCCAGGTAACAGTCTTATCCACATACCACCAAGCAACCAGTCTCACCAACCTACCAGCCAGGTAGCAGTCTTATCCACATACCACCAAGCAACCAGTCTCACCAACCTACCAGCCAGGTAGCAGTCTTATCCACATACCACCAAGCAACCAGTCTCACCAACCTACCAGCCAGGTAGCAGTCTTATCCACATACCACAAGGTACCAGTCTCACCAACCTACCAGCCAGGTAGCAGTCTTATCCACATACCACCAAGCAACCAGTCTCACCAACCTACCAGCCAGGTAGCAGTCTTATCCACATACCACCAAGCAACCAGTCTCACCAACCTACCAGCCAGGCAGCAGTCTTATCCACATACCACAAGGTACCAGTCTCACCAACCTACCAGCCAGGTAGCAGTCTTATCCACATACATGTACCACCAAGCAACAAAGGGCGGATCCGGGGGGGGGGGGCCAAAGGGGGCCATGGCCCCCCCCCCCAAAACGAAACCAATTTTTTTTTTTTTTTATGTGACATCGCAATAAAGGCAGGCAATGAGTACACCACCATCTTTTCCTCAAAAAACATTGGTTAAAGTTGTCAGAAATTGCCTCAGATCGCACCACAGAGCATCTAGAATCCAAAAAATTTTCGGGGCCCTTACGGGCCCCGAACCCCACGCAGAATTTTTTTTTTGGCCCACTTTTTGGGGGGACCAAATTTTTTTTTGGCCCCCCCCCAAAATTGTGTTCTGGATCCGCCCTTGCAAGCAACCAGTCTCACCAACCTACCAGCCAGGTACCAGTCTTATCCACATACCACCAAGCAACCAGTCTCACCAACCTACCAGCAAGGCAGCAGTCTTATCCACATACCACAAGGTACCAGTCTCACCAACCTACCAGCCAGGTACCAGTCTTATCCACATACATGTACCACCAAGCAACCAGTCTCACCAACCTACCAGCCAGGTAGCAGTCTTATCCACATACCACCAAGGTACCAGTCTCACCAACCTACCAGCCCCAGGTAGCAGTCTTATCCACATACCACCAAGGTACCAGTCTCACCAACCTACCAGCCAGGTAGCAGTCTTATCCACATACCACCAAGCAACCAGTCTCACCAACCTACCAGCCAGGTAGCAGTCTTATCCACATACCACCAAGGTACCAGTCTCACCAACCTACCAGCCAGGTACCAGTCTTATCCACATACCACCAAGCAACCAGTCTCACCAACCTACCAGCAAGGCAGCAGTCTTATCCACATACCACAAGGTACCAGTCTCACCAACCTACCAGCCAGGTACCAGTCTTATCCACATACCACCAAGCAACCAGTCTCACCAACCTACCAGCCAGGTAGCAGTCTTATCCACATACCACCAAGCAACCAGTCTCACCAACCTACCAGCCAGGTAGCAGTCTTATCCACATACCACCAAGGTACCAGTCTCACCAACCTACCAGCCAGGTAGCAGTCTTATCCACATACCACCAAGCAACCAGTCTCACCAACCTACCAGCCAGGTAGCAGTCTTATGCACATACCACCAAGGTACCAGTCTCACCAACCTACCAGCCAGGTAGCAGTCTTATCCACATACCACCAAGGTACCAGTCTCACCAACCTACCAGCCAGGTAGCAGTCTTATCCACATACCACCAAGCAACCAGTCTCACCAACCTACCAGCAAGGCAGCAGTCTTATCCACATACCACCAAGCAACCAGTCTCACCAACCTACCAGCAAGGCAGCAGTCTTATCCACATACCACCAAGCAACCAGTCTCACCAACCTACCAGCTAGGTAGCAGTCTTATGCACATACCACCAAGGTACCAGTCTCACCAACCAACCAGCCAGGTAACAGTCTTATCCACATACCACCAAGCAACCAGTCTCACCAACCTACCAGCCAGGTAGCAGTCTTATCCACATACCACCAAGCAACCAGTCTCACCAACCTACCAGCCAGGTAGCAGTCTTATCCACATACCACCAAGGTACCAGTCTCACCAACCTACCAGCCAGGTACCAGTCTTATCCACATACCACCAAGCAACCAGTCTCACCAACCTACCAGCAAGGCAGCAGTCTTATCCACATACCACAAGGTACCAGTCTCACCAACCTACCAGCCAGGTACCAGTCTTATCCACATACCACCAAGCAACCAGTCTCACCAACCTACCAGCCAGGTAGCAGTCTTATCCACATACCACCAAGCAACCAGTCTCACCAACCTACCAGCCAGGTAGCAGTCTTATCCACATACCACCAAGGTACCAGTCTCACCAACCTACCAGCCAGGTACCAGTCTTATCCACATACCACCAAGCAACCAGTCTCACCAACCTACCAGCAAGGCAGCAGTCTTATCCACATACCACAAGGTACCAGTCTCACCAACCTACCAGCCAGGTACCAGTCTTATCCACATACCACCAAGCAACCAGTCTCACCAACCTACCAGCCAGGTAGCAGTCTTATCCACATACCACCAAGCAACCAGTCTCACCAACCTACCAGCCAGGTAGCAGTCTTATCCACATACCACCAAGGTACCAGTCTCACCAACCTACCAGCCAGGTAGCAGTCTTATCCACATACCACCAAGCAACCAGTCTCACCAACCTACCAGCCAGGTAGCAGTCTTATGCACATACCACCAAGGTACCAGTCTCACCAACCTACCAGCCAGGTAGCAGTCTTATCCACATACCACCAAGGTACCAGTCTCACCAACCTACCAGCCAGGTAGCAGTCTTATCCACATACCACCAAGCAACCAGTCTCACCAACCTACCAGCAAGGCAGCAGTCTTATCCACATACCACCAAGCAACCAGTCTCACCAACCTACCAGCAAGGCAGCAGTCTTATCCACATACCACCAAGCAACCAGTCTCACCAACCTACCAGCTAGGTAGCAGTCTTATCCACATACCACCAAGGTACCAGTCTCACCAACCAACCAGCCAGGTAACAGTCTTATCCACATACCACCAAGCAACCAGTCTCACCAACCTACCAGCCAGGTAGCAGTCTTATCCACATACCACCAAGCAACCAGTCTCACCAACCTACCAGCCAGGTAGCAGTCTTATCCACATACCACCAAGCAACCAGTCTCACCAACCTACCAGCCAGGTAGCAGTCTTATCCACATACCACCAAGCAACCAGTCTCACCAACCTACCAGCCAGGTAGCAGTCTTATCCACATACCACAAAGCAACCAGTCTCACCAACCTACCAGCCAGGTAGCAGTCTTATCCACATACCACCAAGCAACCAGTCTCACCAACCTACCAGCCAGGTAGCAGTCTTATCCACATACCACCAAGCAACCAGTCTCACCAACCTACCAGCCAGGCAGCAGTCTTATCCACATACCACAAGGTACCAGTCTCACCAACCTACCAGCCAGGTAGCAGTCTTATCCACATACATGGACCACCAAGCAACAAAGGGCGGATCCGGGGGGGGGGGGGGGGGCCAAAGGGGGCCATGGCCCCCCCCCCAAAACGAAACCAATTTTTTTTTTTTTTTATGTGACATCGCAATAAAGGCAGGCAATGAGTACACCACCATCTTTTCCTCAAAAAACATTGGTTAAAGTTGTCAGAAATTGCCTCAGATCGCACCACAGAGCATCTAGAATCCAAAAAATTTTCGGGGCCCTTACGGGCCCCGAACCCCACGCAGAATTTTTTTTTGGCCCACTTTTTGGGGGGACCAAATTTTTTTTTGGCCCCCCCCAAAATTGTGTTCTGGATCCGCCCTTGCAAGCAACCAGTCTCACCAACCTACCAGCCAGGTACCAGTCTTATCCACATACCACCAAGCAACCAGTCTCACCAACCTACCAGCAAGGCAGCAGTCTTATCCACATACCACAAGGTACCAGTCTCACCAACCTACCAGCCAGGTAGCAGTCTTATCCACATACATGTACCACCAAGCAACCAGTCTCACCAACCTACCAGCCAGGTAGCAGTCTTATCCACATACCACCAAGGTACCAGTCTCACCAACCTACCAGCCCCAGGTAGCAGTCTTATCCACATACCATCAAGCAACCAGTCTCACCAACCTACCAGCCAGGTACCAGTCTTATCCACATACCACCAAGGTACCAGTCTCACCAACCTACCAGCCAGGTACCAGTCTTATCCAAAGATCACCAAGCAACCAGTCTCACCAACTTACCAGCCAGGCAGCAGTCTTATCCACATACCACAAGGTACCAGTCTCACCAACCTACCAGCCAGGTAGCAGTCTTATCCACATACCACCAAGCAACCAGTCTCACCAACCTACCAGCCAGGTAGCAGTCTTATCCACATACCACCAAGCAACCAGTCTCACCAACCTACCAGCCAGGTAGCAGTCTTATCCACATACCACCAAGCAACCAGTCTCACCAACCTACCAGCCAGGTAGCAGTCTTATGCACATACCACCAAGGTACCAGTCTCACCAACCTACCAGCCAGGTAGCAGTCTTATCCACATACCACCAAGGTACCAGTCTCACCAACCTACCAGCCAGGTAGCAGTCTTATCCACATACCACCAAGCAACCAGTCTCACCAACCTACCAGCAAGGCAGCAGTCTTATCCACATACCACCAAGCAACCAGTCTCACCAACCTACCAGCAAGGCAGCAGTCTTATCCACATACCACCAAGCAACCAGTCTCACCAACCTACCAGCTAGGTAGCAGTCTTATCCACATACCACCAAGGTACCAGTCTCACCAACCTACCAGCCAGGTAACAGTCTTATCCACATACCACCAAGCAACCAGTCTCACCAACCTACCAACCAGGTAGCAGTCTTATCCACATACCACCAAGCAACCAGTCTCACCAACCTACCAGCCAGGTAGCAGTCTTATCCACATACCACCAAGCAACCAGTCTCACCAACCTACCAGCCAGGTAGCAGTCTTATCCACATACCACAAGGTACCAGTCTCACCAACCTACCAGCCAGGTAGCAGTCTTATCCACATACCACCAAGCAACCAGTCTCACCAACCTACCAGCCAGGTAGCAGTCTTATCCACATACCACCAAGCAACCAGTCTCACCAACCTACCAGCCAGGCAGCAGTCTTATCCACATACCACAAGGTACCAGTCTCACCAACCTACCAGCCAGGTAGCAGTCTTATCCACATACATGTACCACCAAGCAACAAAGGGCGGATCCGGGGGGGGGGGGGGGGGGGGGGGGGGGGGGGCCATGGCCCCCCCCCCAAAACGAAACCAATTTTTTTTTTTTTTTATGTGACATCGCAATAAAGGCAGGCAATGAGTACACCACCATCTTTTCCTCAAAAAACATTGGTTAAAGTTGTCAGAAATTGCCTCAGATCGCACCACAGAGCATCTAGAATCCAAAAAATTTTCGGGGCCCTTACGGGCCCCGAACCCCACGCAGAATTTTTTTTTGGCCCACTTTTTGGGGGGACCAAATTTTTTTTTGGCCCCCCCCAAAAATTGTGTTCTGGATCCGCCCTTGCAAGCAACCAGTCTCACCAACCTACCAGCCAGGTACCAGTCTTATCCACATACCACCAAGCAACCAGTCTCACCAACCTACCAGCAAGGCAGCAGTCTTATCCACATACCACAAGGTACCAGTCTCACCAACCTACCAGCCAGGTACCAGTCTTATCCACATACATGTACCACCAAGCAACCAGTCTCACCAACCTACCAGCCAGGTAGCAGTCTTATCCACATACCACCAAGGTACCAGTCTCACCAACCTACCAGCCCCAGGTAGCAGTCTTATCCACATACCACCAAGCAACCAGTCTCACCAACCTACCAGCCAGGTAGCAGTCTTATCCACATACCACCAAGCAACCAGTCTCACCAACCTACCAGCCAGGTAGCAGTCTTATCCACATACCACCAAGGTACCAGTCTCACCAACCTACCAGCCAGGTACCAGTCTTATCCACATACCACCAAGCAACCAGTCTCACCAACCTACCAGCAAGGCAGCAGTCTTATCCACATACCACAAGGTACCAGTCTCACCAACCTACCAGCCAGGTACCAGTCTTATCCACATACCACCAAGCAACCAGTCTCACCAACCTACCAGCCAGGTAGCAGTCTTATCCACATACCACCAAGCAACCAGTCTCACCAACCTACCAGCCAGGTAGCAGTCTTATCCACATACCACCAAGGTACCAGTCTCACCAACCTACCAGCCAGGTAGCAGTCTTATCCACATACCACCAAGCAACCAGTCTCACCAACCTACCAGCCAGGTAGCAGTCTTATGCACATACCACCAAGGTACCAGTCTCACCAACCTACCAGCCAGGTAGCAGTCTTATCCACATACCACCAAGGTACCAGTCTCACCAACCTACCAGCCAGGTAGCAGTCTTATCCACATACCACCAAGCAACCAGTCTCACCAACCTACCAGCAAGGCAGCAGTCTTATCCACATACCACCAAGCAACCAGTCTCACCAACCTACCAGCAAGGCAGCAGTCTTATCCACATACCACCAAGCAACCAGTCTCACCAACCTACCAGCTAGGTAGCAGTCTTATCCACATACCACCAAGGTACCAGTCTCACCAACCAACCAGCCAGGTAACAGTCTTATCCACATACCACCAAGCAACCAGTCTCACCAACCTACCAGCCAGGTAGCAGTCTTATCCACATACCACCAAGCAACCAGTCTCACCAACCTACCAGCCAGGTAGCAGTCTTATCCACATACCACCAAGCAACCAGTCTCACCAACCTACCAGCCAGGTAGCAGTCTTATCCACATACCACCAAGCAACCAGTCTCACCAACCTACCAGCCAGGTAGCAGTCTTATCCACATACCACAAAGCAACCAGTCTCACCAACCTACCAGCCAGGTAGCAGTCTTATCCACATACCACCAAGCAACCAGTCTCACCAACCTACCAGCCAGGTAGCAGTCTTATCCACATACCACCAAGCAACCAGTCTCACCAACCTACCAGCCAGGCAGCAGTCTTATCCACATACCACAAGGTACCAGTCTCACCAACCTACCAGCCAGGTAGCAGTCTTATCCACATACATGTACCACCAAGCAACAAAGGGCGGATCCGGGGGGGGGGGGGGGGGGGGGGCCAAAGGGGGCCATGGCCCCCCCCCCCAAAACGAAACCAATTTTTTTTTTTTTTTATGTGACATCGCAATAAAGGCAGGCAATGAGTACACCACCATCTTTTCCTCAAAAAACATTGGTTAAAGTTGTCAGAAATTGCCTCAGATCGCACCACAGAGCATCTAGAATCCAAAAAATTTTCGGGGCCCTTACGGGCCCCGAACCCCACGCAGAATTTTTTTTTGGCCCACTTTTTGGGGAGACCAAATTTTTTTTTGGCCCCCCCCCAAAATTGTGTTCTGGATCCGCCCTTGCAAGCAACCAGTCTCACCAACCTACCAGCCAGGTACCAGTCTTATCCACATACCACCAAGGTACCAGTCTCACCAACCTATCAGCCAGGTACCAGCCAGATAGCAGTCTTATCTATCCACCATGTCCAGTAGTCTGGTACATGTCCTACCCACCCACTAGAATGGTACCCGTCTAACTAACGAACCAGCCAGGTGGGTTTACTACCCAAATAAAAGGGAGCCATGACTAGGCTGGTTCCTGACTTCCCTCCCAAATACATATGGATTATGTACATGTATATGTGTAGTCAGACAGATGAAAAAAGGACCAGAAAACATACTTCAAATAAAATTGTGCGCTCCAAAATGTTTTGGATTCTACAATGTAGATGCTCTGTGGTACGATCTGAGGCAATTTTTGACCATTTTCACCATTTGTTTTTAGGAAAAGATGGTGGTGTACGCAGTGCCTGCCTTTATTGTGACGTCATGCCCTTGAGCACGCATACAGGATGGAAAGTGGCATAAACTAAACCCTCTCCAAAGTATGGGCTATAGTCTGGAGCATATTCACACAAAATATTTGCGCTTTAGTTCATGTTAATATGTCCTGACCTTTATAACAATGTTTGTTTGTTGATCCTGACCACAGCTTGAGCCCCCTCCCCCCATAGGTTTTCATGTTTTTTTAGTCCCACGATTTGACCTTGGTGATATGTATGTGGCCTTTTTTCGAGTAGTATAATAGGGGTGTAAGTGGCGCCACCAACATCAACATAGTCCGTCCCCCAACAGTGCCCAAACAATTTTTTTCTGCGGCCAAAAATTGTGGGCAAGTTTTTTGCAAAAATTGTAACTACTGAGAAATGTGACAATTTGGTGGTTTTTTTTTTAGCCCCCCCCCAGCCAAATCCTGGGTGCGCCACTGCAGGTGGACCCAGGTCCGACTGAGAGATTTTGGATAGTTTGAAGGCCCTTAAAATACCAGGGCCACTCACCAGCCAGACGAGCTGCTGCCCTGGTGTAGTTCCTTTGAAGCTCGTCAAAGTCGGCTGGCACGGACATGACCACCTTGTCCACTCTGAACCCAAGATGCTGCTCTGCTGTTTTCTTGAGATATAACAAGATGCGTGACCCTATGTCCTCCGGGGTAAGAGCCTGCGAGTTGACTTCAAATTTGGCCATTTCGTTTTCTAAAATAACCTTTGGGTATTAGAAAAAAAGGATATACCGATTGATAATGGGTGAAGTGTTTTTGCTTACAGCAAGTTTCTAGATTTGCAATAATTGATTTTTTTGCATAGACTTGAACTGAAAAGTCATACTTTTCACGTTTGGCATCTGTTCTTCTGTCAACATTGTTATTACCTGAAAATGCACAATATCATGAATTAACATCATTCTGACCACGTCTTTTTATTATTGAGTGCAAAGTTGTTTAATCGTTCTTTTTTTTTTTTCTGGACAATACGTCTCCGGGGGTTTTCTCCTAAACGGTTTATGATATGAACTTGTAACTTTTAATATATATTCATCATCCCTCATCCCTCACCCTCATCCCAAGTGGTGCATATTACTCTGACGTTATGATAACACCATCGGGTGTCAAATTTAAACTGATTTTATCTATTACTTTCACCTATAACTCTTGAACTCAATAATCAATGATGGTTGTATTCTGTAATTGCTAATTATTTTTGCCATGTACGTAAACTCGCTTGACCTTTACTTCCGGATCTACCGGATGGTCAAAGTAAGGTGAATTCAAAATGAAGTCGTTAACCTGAAATCAAAACAAAGCACAATTTCTTCCGAAGGGTTTACAGTATGATCACAAAACCTTGTGTGAACTTGTACTATGTTACAAAGATGTTATAAATTTTGTTACGTCATCATGACGTCATCAGATATAAAATTACAAGCGACTTTAGGGCAATTTTTGACAAAATAATTTGCGAGATATCTTTTGAACTAAATAGAGTATCGTGTTCATTTTTTGTGAGGTTGTAGACTAAGTATGCCATGAGAAACATTTCGTGTTCCCGACACAAAACCGCTTGACCTTTACTTCCGGTGTTACCGGAAGTGCAATAAAAACTGAATATAACTCAAAAGCAGAATTATTTTACTACAGGCATATACGTGTATATTATGAAAGTGTTTAGTGAGGAATGCCAGACACAAAAACAGTGTGATGACGTCATCATCCGAAAGGCCGCCCCCTAGCGGCACATAAAATAGTGTTTGCTTTCTTTAATTTTAAAACCATACGTTCAAATTTTACCGAAACGCCCCCTTGATATTCTTTGATGAACCACAGATAACTTGGCAAGGTTTCAAATTCATGACGTCATCAGACAGGAATTTACTTCTATGAGAATTTGCCAACGATCATATTTTAAATTTCATTCCATCATTTGATCCATGTGGTATATCTTAGCCCAAATAACGATACCATTACAATGTTCACCTTTGCTGCCAAATACTGTAACGTCATCAAACCGGAAGTTCGGTGTTAAGAATATATACACTTTATATTTTCCAAATTTTCATAACTTATTTAACTTCTCAATGAACATCCACTCTGAACTAGATCAGTATTCATTCTCCGCTTGTGACTAAGGACGTTATCAAGCCAGAAATAACTTGTATGTGTATAGAATGTTTACTGAAATTTATCACACCGTTAAAGATGCATTTTTTAAACAAAATAATTGATTGTCCTGGAAAGGATTTAATTTCGTGATCCTTTGCTCTTACACAAAAATATTCATGACTTAACTGGACAGTGTTTCATAAAATAGTTTTCTACTTGACCACTCTGCGTTTGTAACAACAAACGTGAATCCCTACTTTTTTTTTCTTTTTTTTCCCGAACAATACTTCTCCGCGGGTTTTCTCCTAAACTTACAAGCGACTTTCGTTGAAAAAAAATGACCATCTTCTTTCACCTATAACTCTTGAACAAAACGATCAATCATGTTCACACCTTGTAATCAGATAGACCATGAATTGATAAACATTTAAAAAAAATTTTTAAAGTCAAAGTCGTTTGACCTTTACTTCCGGGGCTGCCGGAAGGTCAAAGTTAGGTGAATTCAAATTATAGAAATTAGGCTCAATTTAAAGGAAAACAAGATTTCTTTCCATAACCGATTGAAATTGCGCCTCACCAGTTTTCCTTTCATACATGTCATATCTGAATGCTGAAAATTAATATTTCCACAGTGTGTAGCCACAAATTTTTCTGTCGTAAAGTCAGGGCAGAATTTTATTATGCCCATGCAAAAGAAAAACAAACAAACATAAAAGCCATTCTATGATATGATTAGCATATGTTGCATAAACTCCAACGATGTTAGAGGCTTCGTCAAGTCTACCAATAGGCCCAACTGGTTGTATGCTTGAGTAGCCATCCATGCAGCACCAGATGTGCGCTTCCTGATAGGCCTACAAGTCTTGTCGAGGTAAAGCAACAAGTTCAACTGCAGGTTGTGTGATTTTCTTTGTAAAAAACACAGGGTAATGGGTGCAGGGTAATGGGAGGGGTAATGTGCAGTTCAATTATGATTAAAGCTAAGGGGCCATTCAGAATTTTCAGTGTTTTAAAATTTCGACTTTTTTCCAAATTATTTTGACCCACCCACCCACCCCTAATTTCGATTAATAAAAAACTGAACATGTACATGTACATGCACTTGCATGTACATATACTTGAACATGAACATGTATTATACCCATGTACATGTACATGTGTGTCTAGTTCAGTGACGGCGTGAAGTTGTCGGTCTTCCTCTTTTGCACTGGTGACCTTCAGTTTTCTTGTGTCTTGCCAGCTGATATGCTGTTGGGAATGACAGGTTGCAGTTTTGGAAGCCACAAAGATGACTGTGGTTTTGTCGTTTTCTGGATGAGGTGGATGACATGTGACATACGAAGTTGTGCCTGTCACGTGAGGTAGCTGAGAAAAACATTCGCTCGTACCCCCCCCCCCCCCCCCCCCCCCCCCCCCCGTTTGCAGGGCGGGGGGTACGAGCGAAAGAAAAACATCAGGTTTGGGCAGACATCACATCACAGGCTGCGGTCCTCGTAGTCTTGGAGTGCAGTGGTTGAATAGTCCAGTTTTTATAGCGATTGGTAATCGACGCCCGCGGCGTGTTATAGAGCCGATCTAGTACACCTGGTACCCTGCTGCCTCTGCACGGCCTAACCGCTACAAACACCCGCTTCAAACCGCTTCATATACACGTACATGATGTACAGTACATACAGGGGATGAAGTTGGAAAAGAAACACGCATCGCGATATCGGAACGCTTGCGCGTAGTTCAGGCAAATCAAAAGATCTATCTTTCTTTTCTTTTTTTATCTTTTTCCATGGAAAGTGAATTTCGATTTTCAATTATTTAGCTTGACCCACCCACCCACAATTTGGAAAAAAGATCGAAATTTTAAAACATTGAAAATTCTGAATGGCCCCTAAAGTCCATCATTTGCAGCCATCCGAAAAAGTAACTGGCGTATTATTGTTGAAAAACATACTTGGTTGAAAGATAGTAAGTGGACTAAACTCCCTGTGAAATTAATCTTTCTGGCAAGCTATCATTTTGAAGTAATCAACGAAAGAAGGCCTTTGCAACGGTGCGTCTTAAGACGCACCGTAGGAAAATTTAAATTAGTAGTTCGTTTTGTTATTCGGCGCAGCGCGCGCAAGCATTGGCACGACGCACAGGCGCGCGCGGTTACTATAATTCGTCGGATCAGTGCGCGACATCGCGTATAGCTGCAATTCAAAACAATTCAAAACATGATTCAGCAACTTTTGATTTGAAGTTGAGATCCTAGAATGCTGTTTTTTTCTCAGAATATACAGCTGAAGCTGAGCTGAAACTTCATCAGGTTAGTTGTTCAGTATCCTTCATTAGATTTTGAACACTTTTGTTGCTTCAAACGAACAAAATGCACGAATTACAAATGATGGACTATATCTTTAAGTCACTGTAAACACAAGAAAATATGCCAGCCCGACCACTCTGCATTTGTAACTCAACAAACGCAAACCTCTAGTTATTATTATTTTTTTTATTTGAATCTGATACAGACAGGAGGTGCTACAATCAACATCCTGCAAGATATTGATTGTGGTACCCTTGGTTTCAATCGGCCATCCAAAACCAACTGGTCCAGTGGTTAAAAGTTGGGTAGATCATTTGTCATTTGTGCATTTTTTTTGTTTGAAGCAACAAAAATGCTCAAAATCGAAACTGACGGGTGTTTGACAACCTGATGAAGTTTTAGCTCAGTGAATGCTGTATATTCCGAGAAAACAATATTCTAGTTGCCGAGTCATATTTTGAATTGCGCCCGAAATCAGCATCCGGGACACGTTCTCATTCAGCTGATTGCAGCTACATGATGTCAAGCACTGAACTGAAGAATAATAGCAGCCACCCGCGTGTGTGCATCATGTCAACGCGCGCATCAATTCATGGATTCGCCAAATTACAAACCAACTACTGATGGAAATTTCCAAAAATTTGTTACTTGATGCATCTTTGGAAATGGCCTTCTTTTATTGTTTTCTTCAAAATGACAGCATGCAAGAAAGAACAATTTCACAGGGAGATTAGCGCCATCACTATCTCTAAACCAAGTCAGTTTTTAACAGTAATTTTGTCAGTTACTTTTTGGATAGCTGCAAATTATCTACTCTACCTTGAAGACCTCTGCTCTAGTTAGGTCACATAGGTTCAAGTTTTTCTTGCAAGCTTTTGGACCGCATCCAGTATACATGTACAATGCTAAAACCCAAAGTTCCATCAATCCAGACTTTTCAATTTAGTATTTGATATATTACCTTGAAGGGATATCTAGCAGCCTCTGTCTTTAATCCTTCTGGGCTGAACTTTTTACCGATGAACCGTTTGGCATCATATATGGTGTTGACAACATTTTGTTCTGCTTGGCATAAGGCATCATAGCCAACGATGTCAGTTCCCTCTGGAGTGATGGCCACCATGGATGGGATGGTGTCATGCTGGTCTGCACCAATCACCTACAGTCATTCAACAGTATAGAGGCAACTTGTTTCGAGTATCATTCATTAATAACCTTTACCCAAAAAGAACTCAACCCATCAAAGCCCAACAACATGTTTTGTTGGAATCTGTCAGGATGGTTACAGTGCCCCTAGACTGACAGTTTTTTACTTTGGCTTGGCACATCTCCAGAATCAAAGTCAGAAATCTGTGTGTGCAGTTTCCCATATGGTGTTGGAATTTGCCAGGATGGGTATGGTTCCTAGTAAATCATGCTAGGGAGTTAGGGTTAGCCTTCCCAAATCCTCCAGAATCCTCTTTGCAAAACGGATTATACATGAAATCCTTTGCACTGCTCCAAGATATCACTGGCTCTGTCTCAACATTTTAATAGTGCTTGCTGGAGGATTTTGCAGGATTGAGGCCGTGGTCACCCCTCCAAGGACCTCATTCAAGAAATATCGGAGGATTTTGCAGGATTGAGGCTGCATGTAACTTTTTACATGGAGGCAGTTGGAGGATATGGCAGGATTGAGGTTGTTGCATCCAAGCAAAAATGCCTAGGGTCAACCCTAACCTTTCCAACTCCATCAAAATCCACTGGCCCTCCATTTTGGGGGATTTTGGCAGACATGGTCCTGCTGGTTGGACGTAATTTTGATGGAGTATGATGAACTTGGGCCGGGATGCCTGAATCAGTACTGGTGAAACCTGATGGATTTGGTCCAGCGTGGACGTATTGCTGTTGTCATGTAAATCGTGCGTACCAAGTCCATCAAAATCCACCAGCACTTCATCAGAGGTGGATTTTCATGGATTTGGTCCGCATTATGTGAAGCAGAGTGGCGTAAAAAGTTTCTACTAATAGTAAACATAAGTAGGGAGTTAGGATAACTTTTGACAGTTCCGGATCATTCACAGCGCGCTCAGCGCGTGCGTCATATACACACCTTCATCATATTATTATCACGTACTGCACACAAAACTGCATCTTGCGCATGGGTGATCCGCAACTGTCTCACGTGGGAATACAAATCTTTTTACACACTTAATTCCTTTCACAGGTCAGTTACAAAACACGCGTATATTTTGCCGAACTGGATCATGGGTTATGTTTTAGAGATTTCCAAAATTTCTTTTCCCCGACAATTGCGAAATGATAGACCTTCACATTGGTGAAAAAAATCTCGGGAAAAAAGATTGGTTACACTGGAATTAATTTTATTTAATCAAGTGATCCAGAACTGTCAATGATCCGGAACTGCCGCACTGACTGTATCATTGCGTCAGTGCAACAAGGTCGTAACTTGATTCTGTAAGAAAGTCGCATCTCGTGCGAATACGCTCCGCACAACAAGTCGTATCTCACGTATCGCGACATCCATTTACTTTGTGTGTACATCCGGCATATTGTAAGCAGGATACAACCTTTTGATATTGAAAACTCGCCACACGCCATTTTAGGAGATAAGACCTTGTGCAACAGGACATAAAGTTGGTTACAGGTACTCCATCTCATAATCTGGAACCGGTTCCTGACATCGATGGTCGGGTACTTGGGTACCCAGTTCCGATGCACAGCCCTACTGTAATCATTCTAACCTGGACTTCACCAGTTACAGCGTGATACACTCCAATGCAGGAATAGGTTGTGCCGAGATCTATGCCCACAATCCTTGGCTTAGGAGGTGGTAGATACTGCTGCCCAAGGTAACCAGCCAACAGTAGGGCTAAAATGGATGCACCTGAATATCAGAAAGAAAGGTATTTGCAGACAGGATAATAAATGTGTGTGTTGATCTGCATATCACATCAATTATATTATTTGCAACTAATGATGACACAGTTGCATAGATGATAAAGGTAAAATACGTATACACAAGAAAAGATTCATCTAGCTCACTTTAATTTTTAGAAATAATTTTGTGTAAACAAATTATTTACCAACATAACAAATAGCCACTTGTAGTTGTACAAAGTATGGGCCCTGCCAGTCACATCAAGAAGGAAACAATCCCAGTCTGGATCAGAACAGCCAGCCAATCATAGCGCGCCGCATGCCTGGTAGTCTTGGCCCAAGACTGACTTTGGATTGTTTTTGTCTACGTGCAGTTGGTGCATTATATAGCACTTGCACGCGCACTGGCAACATGGCAAGCTTAGCTAAATTAAACGACATCAACGGTAGAGGGCACTTTCGGCAAGACAAAGCTGGTCTTGGGCCAAGACTACCGGGCATGCGGTGCACTGCGTGACTTACAGGTGAATGATCCCTGTATATTGCGCGAGAGCATTGTTCAGTGGGAACATGGTGCAATTGAGTTACACACAAACAGATGCCCAAAAGGATCCGGAAATGACATGAAAACTGGAGAGTTGAACACTTGTGTATCATTTTTTTATTAGTTATTAACAAGGTGAGTGTTTTTTTAAAGCATAAATCAACCATGTATGCAGTCAGAATGTGAAAATAAATTTGGTAACAAGTGCTACCATTGTGAGTATATCTGATAGTGTGGCCTTTATTTACGGAGGTACAGTGTAGTCCAGTAAATAGGCCACATACACTGATACAGCCATCACTAACTTTGGCGATTGTGAAGTGTAGGGCCCGGTCCCTTTTAAGGGAACAAAATCCACTTTAAAATTATTAGACCGACCAAACTTGTTGGTGACATTCTCAATAAACAGGTATGTCATAGACAGAGGGCAGGGTTTTGATTTTTTAAGGGATATTTGGGGGTAAAAAGATGATGACAGCGCGGCAACAGCACGCAACCTGAAAATAAAGAAAAACGGAAATTCTACCAAGAAACTGTTCAAAATTGCAAAACGGGTGTCATTAGAATTGAGAAAAGTGTGCTGATTGTAAACATTTTTGACTCTAATTTGATCAAAACAAAACAGGGGCCCTACACTACATGATCGCCCTAAGTTTCCACTTCAGTGACCTATCACCATATCAGCCATCAGAAAGTGATCATGAGTCCTACAAAGTCAAATTAAGCTGGGAAAATATGGAAGTTTTCACTGAGAAAACACTTTTTTCAGACCAGTCTCATACTCAGTCACTCATAGGGTTTGTGCACAGGGTTACAAGCGATGGCCAGATGATGCAGATAGGCCTATGGATATCTTTCCTAAAGAGGTTGTGGAATGCTCGAAGACATTTCCGTCATTTTTCGGGTATATGTAGCCTAAGGTGTGATAAAATAAAAACGACTATTGTTTCTGTCATGAAATGAGTACAAAAGGTACTTTTGAGAGCTGTTTTTCAGGTCCAGTTTCGACCCGAACGTGCAACTGTGTAAAAGTCGTCGTTGCGGGCAGCAAACAAAACACAGTAAATCGTGACGTAATAAACAGGACTCCCGATGCACAGTAGCATACACGAATCCTGTTTATTACGTCACGATTTACTGTGTTTTGTTTGCTGCCCGCAACGACGACTTTTACACAGTTGCACGTTCGGGTCGAAACTGGACCTGAAAAACAGCTCTCAAAAGTACCTTTTGTACTCATTTCATGACAGAAACAATAGTCGTTTTTATTTCATCACACCTTAGGCTACATATACCCGAAAAATGACGGAAATGTCTTCGAGCATTCCACAACCTCTTTAACTAAAAGGCAGTGGATATTTTGCCGGAGACGGCAAACCTTTAGTAAACGTTAGTTTGCCGGATATGCACTGAACATGCGCAGTTACTGTTTTTTTGTACTTCAACATTTTCTGGTGACAAATTTTAGTCTGGCTCCATGCCAATATTATCGTTGTAACCTCGTATTTACAAGATGGGATTCAGACCATTTTATAATTTCGGACTTTATTTCCCTTTAAAAAAAATCCTCCAGTGCCACAAATCTGAAAAAGAAAATGTAATACTCTGCAATAAAACATGTAAAATGTTTGAGACATGTTAAAATAATAAAAGAAGAATATTCTTATTTATTTGGGAATGGGAAAAAAAACTTTAAAATGTGGCGGGGATCGGGACCGAACCCGAGTCATCCCGCTCACTAAACTTAAGACTTTGCTTAACCACTACACCAAAGTGTCCAAACATGCTACACAACTTTTGGTGGGAATTTAATACATCTTATAATTCAGCCCTATCTTAAAGAGTACAGCGCCCTCTGTTGATATGGATTGCCGCCGGCAAACGTTAGTTTGCCGTCATTACATCCGGCAAAATATCCACTAGGCCTAGGCCCTATCTAACTCTTCTAACTGTAAAAAAGTGTAAACAGTAAAGTCTAATATGTTACTAGTCAACATCTTTGACACTGGATTAACAAACAAGTAATTACCTAAAACTGAAATTGTAGCGCTCATCTCGATGTCAACGCTGACAGTGACAGCTGATGTGACAGCTGTGCAGAATAGCTTTTGATAAGAATGTTTTTTCTGTAACACATGCACACGTCACGTTAATGCACGTTGCGAAATTACCAGCCGTGGCAGAGGGCGCCACCGCGCGTTCGCAGCCCACATAAATGTAATGACCGGTTTGGCCGATTTTCGGCGAACTGTGACAGGTTGTTTTTTTTGTTAAAAAAAACCCGAGTTTGACAGAAAATTTGACAGAATGTTTTTTTGGCAGAATTCTGCAAAAATGGTTATTGACAGAAAAAAATGGTAGATTTGTCAGAAAAAAATGGTAGATTTGTTTTAAAAAGCTTCAATCGGTTCCAACAAACCCTTCCATAATGGAGGTGATTTTTTTGGGGGGGGGGGGGGGGCTCGTGCCATGTTTTTAACGGAGCGCTGATAAAATCCTACAATCAGGCACACTATAATAAAAGTGTTAAAATGCACCCTTCTCACGACTATTTATTTAGGGGGAGACGTCACATTCTTACATTTTGCTAGTGCAATTTAATTCTTTTATGGAATTAAATCTTTTTGGGGGCAAAGAGCCCCCCCCCCCCCCGTAGAACCGCCACTGATCTGCACTTGTTTATAGTGTACAAGCTGATTTACCCGATTATAGATCGGGTAGGGCGTAGTGTTGGGGATGAAAATGTGGGGAGATGAATGTAAATGGGGGTTGGTTGAGAAGACATGCAGTTATAGAAAAGCAATTTTTTTTGTGGTGTGATCTGAGGCAATTTCTGACCACTAAAACCAATTAGAGCAAAAGATCATCTTTGAAACATCATTTTTGAGCTTGGGGTAATTGAATCAGCTACACGGTATTCTAAGCAATAGCATCATTATAGTAGGCTACAATTTTTATTCGGGGAAGAAAAAGTGGGGGGGGGGGACCAAACAATGTCCCGCTTTAAAAGGTGGGGTGGGTGGGGGGGGGGTTCCCCCTGTCCCCCGTCGATTTACGCACATGACAATTATGTACCACGGCAACTGTCTGTAAATGTTCCCGTTGGTCTGTCAAATTGGCATTTTGTGAGGCAGTCGCATTGTGGGAAATTAGTGAAAAGGTTACCGTAGTACACAGGCGAAGGCTGATTGTACAGTTTTGACAATAAATCATAATGCAATCAAACGTGAAGTTGTCATTCGCAATGAAAATGTTGAGTGTTACCGACCATAAAATTACAAACGGTCTGAATGATGGAGGCAGGTCATAATGAAGTTTCAGTATTGGACTCTTCAATAAACGTAAACTTGAACTTCTTACAGTTTGGGAGACCGTCTGCGAGGAAAAAGTCGATTCAACTTTTATTCAAGTTGGTTCAACCATTTATATAAGAGCAAGTTTTACTCGGCCTCCGAGAAATGTTTGCTCCTGAGAGGATATCCGAGACCGCGCGGTCTCAGTCCCGCGGCGCCAAAATCGCTCCACGTCCGTGGAAAAATGTGGAGGGTGTCTTCCGCCGGGTCGCGCGTGCTGTCTGGCGCTAGACTAGTCTGGTTCCCAGACCAAAACTTTTCTGACTATTCCTGATGAATCTTATTAGGTCAGGCAGCCTCCGGGTAGCATAAAATGGTAAAAATCACGCACGGTATATACTCGCGCCACCACCCTCTTGTGTCGCCCCACTTACCGGTGATCATCACATTTAACAAGTCCTCTTTCTACTGTCGCGCCGCCACCCTCTAGTGTCGTCCCACATACCGATGATCATCACATTTAACAAGTCCTCTTTCTACTGTCGCGCCGCCACCCTCTAGTGTCGTCCCACTTACCGATGATATCACATTTAACAAGTCCTCTTTCTACTGTCGCGCCGCCACCCTCTAGTGTCGTCCCACTTACCGATGATCATCACATTTAACAAGTCCTCTTTCTACTGTCGCGCCGCCACCCTCTTCTGTTGCCCCAATTACCGATGATCATCAAGTGAGGAGACAAGAGAGGGTGGTGGCGCGACAGTAGAAAGAGGACTTGTTAAATGTGATATCATCGGTAAGTGGGGAGACACAAGAGGGTGGTGGCGCGACAGTAGAAAGAGGACTTACATGTTACATGTGATGATCAATTAGTGGGATGCAGCACATACAGTGTGCATCTACATGTATATCTAGTACCGTGCGTGATATATTACTCATGAGCTTCTAGTGACGTCATAGTCATGCATATTTATTACGCGCTCTACTCTCGTACCATTTTATGCTACCCAGCCTCCGTGGCTAAAAATAAACATGACGACATAGATGGCCCTTCTTCAAAGCTCGGCTTTGTTTCCGATTTCGCTTTATCACTTTTAGCTTTTAATGTTCGATCTGATCAAATTTTTAAGTAAATCACTTGCTTCGTAATATCATACAGTTATGATAATACAGTTTGATGTTTCTGTAAGATAACATTGACTAATGTTGATCTGGAATCTTCAAAATTAGGCAACCAAATAGCACTGTTAGCAGGCGGAGCCGAATGAAGACCGAGTTTTGGAAAATCTCAGTAACGGTCGACAAATTCAAAATTGTACATGACGCAGCAAGGGTTCGCCCCAACCTCGTCCCCAGTGCTTACTTTATTTCCAACCGCGTTTCCAATAGTTGAGAGAGCAGGTAGTGGTGGGCGCGTACTGCTCGACACCCTGGGGACGAGGTTGGGTTCGCCCTGGGTTCGCCCATACGATCCTAGTCTGGTTCCCCGACCTGACAATTTCCCCTGACGTCTACACGTCTAAATTGTAGGTCAGGCAGCCTCCGTGGCTAAAAATAAACATGACGACATTGACGGCCCTTTTTCAAAGCTCGGCTTCGTTTCCAAATTCGCTTTTTTACATAAAGCTTTTAATGTTCCGATCATTTAAAAAAAAAAAAATCACTTGCTTCATATATTATACAGTTATGGTATACAGTTTAATACTTCTGTTAGAAAACATTGACTAATTTTGACCTGGAATCTTCAAGGTTAGACACCCAAACAGCACTGTAAGCAGGCGGAGCCGAATTGAGACCATGCCGAGTTTTGGAAAATGCCGGTAACGGTCGTCAAATTCAAACTAGTGCATGACGCAGCAAAAAGTTCGCCCCTCGTATACGATCCGAGTGCAAAATCGTCGTTGAATTTCAAGTTTTTCTAAATAAAAGCAATGGATATTAATTATCAACTAGTTTTTTAAAGTTTTTAATAAGCAAGTAGCAGTTAATAAAACCTATATTATACTCGGAAATACTCGGACACTATCCGATAGTCGACGAAATGAATTCGGCAAACTTCGGACATTTTCGGAAAAAGGAGGAATTCCTCCCGTTTTAGTCACGTGAATTAAATTGTAATACATTGTATTACCGGAGGCTACCTGACCTACAACCTCGTCTCCAGGGTGTCGAGCAGTACGCGCCCATCACTACCTGCTCTCTATTGGAAACGCGGTTGGAAATAAAGTAAGCACTGGGGACGAGGTTGACCTGACCTAAGATTCATCAGGAATAGTCGGAATATTTTGGTCTGGGAACCAGACTAATACGATCCGAGTATATTTGATGCACAAAATCGTCGTTGAATTTCAAGTTTTCTAAATGAAAGCAATGATTATTAATTATCAACTCATTAAAAAAAATAATAATAATAATAAGCAATTAGCAGTTAATTAAACCTATATTATATTCGGAAATACTCGGGCGCTATCCGATTGTCGACGAAACGAATTCGGCAAACTTCGGAAATTTTCGGAAAAAGGAGGAATTCCTCCCGTTGTGGTCACGTGACCTAAATTGTAATACAATGTATTACCGGAGGCTACCGGACCTAAGATTCATCGGGAATAGTCAGAATCTTTCGGTCTGGGAACCAGACTAGCGCCAGACGACGGCTGATTTACGTTAGTAATCCTGCATTTTCATTGGTCAATTCACAACGGTTGATGCATTATTCATGTCTACCAAATCATTTAGAAAACTTGAAATTCAACGACGATTTTGTGCATCAAAATACTCCGATCGTATGGGCGAACTTTTTGCTGCGTCATGTACAATTTGAATTTGACGACCGTTACCGAGCATGGCGTGAGTTACGAAAACATGATTTAATTTTTATTAAACTGTTACGATCTTAACGAAACAACATCCAGTATCACATTTCATATTAATATTTATAACAAACTGGAAAGGAAATGAATATTTCGAGAAGGCGTGGACGAATGATCGCGAAAACACGTACTGCACGTTGTGAAACAACACCAAGTACACGATATAAATCCATTTCTCAGGCCAGCCAATTGCGGTATCGAATCAGAATGCAGGAAGGAAGTTTCCTATCCAGGGTTTACTATTGGAAAAAAACGTTGGAAATAAAGTAAGCACTGGGGACGAGGTTGGCCTGACCTAAGATTCATCAGGAATAGTCAGCACCGAGAGTAATGCGCACGCAACATTTTCCTGCACTAGGGAGTAGCACTGAAGAGTAACACGCTCGAGCGTACCCATGGATGGGTGCAACCCTGCAATAAAAAAAAATCCCATAGACACTAATGCTAAATACTTCAAAATTCTTTTTAAAACACTCAGAACTCTCACAGGTATACAAGCTGCACACAAAAATGATGATCGATGTGTCATTTTTCATTTTCTTTTCTTTTTTGGTGGGTTGACCATTGACTTTTCGAGATATTCTCACCCAAAGAAGACGACCCCTATTTTCCCCGAAACGGAAAAGAAGCCATCTTGAAAAACGACTCCTCCACAACATGGGAAAATAGCGCCACTTTCGAGCCCAATAGGATCCAAAATGCGCATAATTGGAAGCCCCAAGTCCAAGCAAGTGGTTCCTTACCATATCTCTTCAATCCCCCAATTTTATGGCTCTCAAAGCTCTCTAATATAGAATATGTTGAGGGGTACAACTTTTATTCATGAGCTCGGCGGACGGATTTTCGGCCTATTTACAGGCGGGCGTGCACTAGCGCGCGCTGATGATCAGGGTGACCGTTTTAGCCGATTTTAGCCGATTTTCGGCTAACTTTGAAATAATTTTTTGTTAAAAAACGAGTTTGACAGAAAATTTGACAGAACGGATTTTTTTGGCAGATTTCTGGCAGAATTCTGCAAAAATGGTTATTTGACAGAAAAACAGCAAATTTGAACAAAAAACGGTACTTTTATTTTAAAAGCTTCAATCCTGTCAAACAAACCCTTGTATAATGGGACAGGTTGGCTGGTCTAGGTGCTGAGGTTCACTGGTAAACGGACTTCGTCATGGCCGGATCCAGCTGTTTTGCCCGAAATTTACGATAATTTCATGACATCTTTATGTGACAATAGATTGTTTATAATGTAATTTGAACCTTAATGAAGGCAATACTACCGATCTGCATGTGATTTTAAGTGTTTATAGTGTATTTCGAGTAATTCTGGGGAATTTGGCAGAATTTTGATAAATCTGACAGATTTTTGATGTGCATTTAGCAGAATTTGGCTCTGCTCGCTTATGATATGATGCATGATGCGAATTCCCATGATGCCCTCTTAAAAAAATGGCTGGAGGAAGTGGAGTGCTTTTATTTGTCAGTTGTTCGTTTGCAGAGCAAAAGACGGTCTTAGCTGGGGTAAAAACCGTCACAAGTACCGGTAGGTAGTAACATATAAAATATGGAATTTACTGGTTCGAGTGTAGTCCGAGAAGGACTGTACGAATCGCTTTTTTAACATTTGGATATAAAGTCATAAGCCGCCGCGTTTCGCGGTAGTAGGTACCGCGGCCGCCATCTTGCTTGAAATCGTGATTGCACAATACCGGCTGGGGGCGGGGTGCGATATTTTTTATTTCACAACTATCTGGGGTACCTTGTGCGCTTTCCTGTGGGGCATTCTTACTCCTAGAACTATGAGGCTCCGCGTGAGCCTCATAGTTCTAGGAGTAGGGCATTCTGAAAAAGAAAAATCAGAAGATCAGAAAAGAAAAAGAAAATTGCTGCTATATAATTATAAGTCCGACTGAAAAATAACGTTTCTAAGATCATGAAGATGAAACTTTGACTTGTTGAAATTAAAACAAGAGCAAAAGCTGAAGGGACAGAGCAAGGATTCGAACTCGGGATCTCTGATCATTAGCTAGACCCGTAAACGTGGTGTTGTATACAACGCCACGCGCTTCCGTCGGGTAAATGCTAGCGACAGCATTCTATCTTTTGATCCGCTACATATAACCATGTATAATTTCGCCAATATGTGAATCACTTACTTGTTGGGCCTCCTGTAAATTTCCGCGAGTGTTGGATCTGTCATTGCCAAGAAATTTGATGTAAAGTACGGCACAACTTTCTCACAACGAATGTTTTCAAAATGATCAGGAAATCAAAGACAGGCATGACACTCTGGTACCCTGACTTCCGCATGCGCAAAACAGTAGGAGTATCACCAGTTGGTACCCGACTAAATGTCAGATGACCGTAATACCTTGTAAAATTCTGCTAAATCCATTTCGAAAGTCTGCCAAATCACCCAGTTTATATTGCTGTTCCATTGTGGAAGGGTTTGTTTTAAGGATTTTCAAAAAAAGAAGGTTTTTCAAACCAAATGTGCCATATTTCTGTCCAATCTTTTTTATTTTCCTTCATCTTCATAATTCTGCCGAAAAAATATTCTGCTGATTTTATGTACAACTCATTTTTGTATGCAAATATTCTGTCAAATGTAGCCGAAATTCGGCTAGAACGGTCACTCCATTTTAGTAACAGTGGATCACAATAGAGTGTTTTTACTATAGACTGAAGCGTGGCTATGTATATAGTCACGTTCACGGGTCTAATCATTAGCCAGCCTGCATAACCACTGGGCAACGGTGGTGCTCGACCAAACTTTGAAATTCATAAATTAGGGCATGGACCCGTGAACGTGGCTATTTACATAGCCACGCTTTAGTCTATACATGGAGCAAGGAAAACGGACCTATAGGCCTAGTAAAAACACTCTATTGTGATCCGCGGTTACTAAAATGAAGCGACCGTTCTTCTAGCCGAATTTCGGCTACATTCAACAGAATATTTGCATACAAAAATGAGTTGTACAGAAAATCAGCAGAATATTTTTGGCAGAATTATGAAGATGAAGGAAAATGAAAAAGATTGGAAAGAAATATGGCACATTTATACCTTCAATTTTTTGAAAGATCCTTAAAACAAACCCTTGCACAATGGAACAGCAATATAAACTGGGTGATTTGGCAGACTTTCGAAGTGGATTTAGCAGAATTTTACATGGTAAAAAAATTGTATTACGGTCATCTGCCATTTAGTCGGGTACCCACTGGTAATACTACAGTCGACTCCCGTTATAACGAGCTCGGTCATAACGATAACCTGGATGTAACGAGCACATTCTGCCAGTCCCGATCAATTTGTGTACATTACTATGGGGAAATATTTGGTTATTACGTGCACGGACATAACGAGACTTCGGCTATTACGACGATTTTGGCTGACCCAATGCGAGGAAAAGCATTGTTCTCAACCCATTTACAACGACATCTTTTCAAAACTACGGGCATTGCAGCTTGTCAACGACAGACCTTTTGTCCCGAAACGGGTATCATGCTCCCGTCTTCCAATTCAAGCAACACACTTAAGCTTCACCCATCAATGTACCTTTGTAAAGACTTCAACCCAACGTTATTTCATCTCGCCGATCTTTATAAATAAATTCAATGGGACTGTGATAATCGGCGCAGTGGACCGCTGGTCTAGTCGCTAATCCCCCGCTGCGGTTTCCCTTAGCGTGACCAGGTTTGAAGTTTGCTTACGACTGCGGTACCACGTTTCTATATTATTACAAACTAACAATAGGGGGCGCTCAGGAGTTAAGTGTTAACATTGTAAGGAATAGCCTTTAGTACTACCGCCCGAACATCGGGTGCGTAATTGCTCCCTATTGTTGGCTTGTGGCTATAAAAAAAAATACGAAGTAAAGAACACAGCATCACAAAACAAACGGCTCTTTTCAGAGCCACCACAACTTCCAAACAGAGATAATTCAGTCTGTCTTCAAAAAATAAAGTTTAAAACATACCGTGTTTCCCACCCCCAAAAAAGAATCCGAAGAATAAAAAAATAAAAATCTTAAACAAATTAAGAACCCCTCCGGCCCCGCCGAAAAAACAATCCCAATGAAAACAGGTTTCCAAGATCTTCAAACGCCCCACCACATATACATTGTACAAATTTTAATCCAAAATTATTACTTTTGTTTATTTATTATTATTATCTTAAAAGAATCCCTCCCGACAAATAATAATCACCAATTGCTGCGAAATTACACATTTAGACACTTAAACCCGGAAGTAATATTAGCGCCCTCTCTTGCCCGATTCCAGCAAATGCAAAACGAAAGCAAAATGTCACTTGGCACGAATGTGCGCTATAGTTAACCGAAATAATTACAATTTCAAAGAATCCCTTCAGAAACAATAATACCCAACTGTTCCAAAAAGTCAACAACCAAAAAGCATCTAAGGATCAGGAGTCATTAAAACCCGGAAGTAATGCATGTATTGGCGCCCTCTCTTGCCCGATTCCAGCAAATGCAAAATGAAAGCAAAATGTCACTCGGCACGATTTGTGCGAGTGACCTACTTGCCTGATTCTTCTCAGCGATGATGCCTTTTCCTCCGGATTCAGGTCCTCAAATATTGAACAATGTTCCCTCAAAGGTATTTTATTTATTTCATTTATTCATCACCATCAGTTAAATATTTAATATACATTATTAACAGACGTACATACCAACAAATGACCATCTTTTCATGTCTTCGGACGTGCGTTACACGATTAAAACACGCACGCACATGTACCGTACCTTGTGCACAACGAATGGGGAAAACTGCGCTCCGGTTTTAGCGAGGTTCCGGCTATAACGACAGTATTGTGAAAGTCCATCGGACCTCGTTATAACGGGAGCCGACTGTATTACCGTTTTGCGCATGCGGAAGTCAAGGTACCAGAGTGTCGTGCCTGTCTTTGATTTTCTGATCATTTTGAAAACATTCAGTGACAAAGTTGTGCCGTACTTTAGGTCATATTTCTTGGCAATGACAAATCCAACACTCGCGGAAATTCACAGGAAGACCAATAAGTAAGTGATTCGCCTATAGGCAAAATTATACATGGTTATATGTAGCGAATCAAAAGATAGAATGCTGTCGCTTGTATTTACCCGATGGTCGCGCGTGGCGTTACGTTCATACAACGCCACGTTCACGGGTAAGCACGGGTGTATTCGACCGCCGTTACTAACCGCTCAATAAAATACATCTAGAGGTATCCTGTTGTCATAATAAACTTTACACATGATGTTCAGTTCCTGCCCTTGATTGTCCATTGTTCAGAAGTCAGAACAGCTCCGTGGAATCTTTGTAATTCAGTCCAAAATTGAACTCGCGTAAGCCGTTGCGCGGTGCGGCGGCCATGTTATTGGGTCACGTAAGAACACGGGTATCATTGGTGGCGCTCTTTGAGACTTTACAGGGGTGATGACGTCAAATCAAGCCAACCTATCAATCATTATTGGTTAGGTCATGAGGTCGATGCATGATTGACTGACAATATTTATTGGACAGGGCTGATATAGGGGTGATCAAATTATGACCAACAGAGGACGCTGCTCTGGCTGTTTTTGACCACCGCGCTTATTGAATTGGCTTGGCACGTTGGGGCGCAGGGGCATGCGCGCGCGGTGAATTGGATCGGGCCTGGAGATTCACTTTGAGATTTTAAGGGTTGATTTGTGTAATTTATGGGTTTAATTCTTATTTTCCCTGGAAATATTTATTTTTATGATGTAATTTATTGTAAAGAAATGTAAAAGTGGTGGGAAAAAAAACTTTCTGTTAAAAACAAAACAAATAACACGCCGTAGGCATTGGTCTGGTCGAAAACAGCTACATGCTGGTCGAATTCTCCCACACAGTGACCGCTCGTTCAAAAGGTCAAAGGTCATACATTGTGACCATCAATGCTGACCAGGTAAGTTCTGAAATAAAGATAAAAGAGTGCTTATGTTATCCATCTGGAGTTTGAGTTTCTTCCCCTTATTTTAAAATAAAATGGACCAAGTTTCCCTTATCCGGTCGAATACTCCCCCTTTTACCCTATATACTTTCACACATGTGGAGAGAGTATATGTGCGCGGGTAGGTGAAAGGCTACAGGATTGTACTACAATCCTATAACTTTGATTCAAGTCGCCTAAAAAATGGGTGCCCTGTACTATAGTGTAAATATAATATTCGCGGGCGGGGTACTGGGGTACCGGGTACCAGTGAACATGGCGTTGTATTGCAGGCCTCGAAATAGTACTAGCCCGGCGTACAAATTCTAACGAAAAATGCTCGAAGGCAGCACTTCCTGATTAGCCTTTAAAGGGGGTGAGTATGCTTCTAAAGCAAATAAACCCTACAAACTAAGCTTAAATGTGAAAATCAAAATTTGACAAAGTTCGACATGTTTTTGTACATGGTGGAAGTGTGGCCTTTATTTACGGAGGTAGTCCAGTAAATTGGCCACATTTATGGGGCTAGTACCGTCAGCCAGCTAGCTGTACGATGCACGTACACACACGATATACAAATTTCTAAGTGTTTTCTCAGTAAAACTTGAAAATTTGTCCCTGCTACTTTTGACTTTTTAGGATATATATTACTTTCTGATGGCTGATGGGTCATTTAACATGTTTAAGGGAAAAATTACTGATGTCCAGATATGGGAATCTTTCCCCAGTATTTGAGCCACATTTATGGGGCCAGTAATTATAGATGTTTGCACAGACCTTTGTTTGCTACGTTGGTTTCTATGCATAAAGCCCCTAGTAATTTCTCAGACCGAGTAAGCTGTTGTTACATGTAGGTGTTTTTTTTTTTTTGCTGTGCATAACAAGATACCGGTACATGTAGTGGAAATAGCAGATGTATATCATGTGATCTACACTTGACAAATCAAGATACATAATCTGTAGGCAAGGTGTTAACATTACATTTTGTAAGAACCATTAGAAATGGTGCGGATACGGTGTCACATGAAATTTGGACTATTACGAAATGTGGTATCTTTTATCTCATGTGGACTTTAACCCTCCATGTTCTGTCCCTGTCCTACAATGTACATGTACAAATGTATGTAATTATCTTCACTTCACAATGCAACCAATGAGTCTGCATTGATAGGGTAGGGTTCAAAGTTCATACTACACCAGGATACATATGTGGCTTGTAAATACATGTACATTTGTACTACATGTACATTAACACTAATCCATGATTAAATTTATTCTTTCACAACTATTCACAGATTAAGTAAAACAAACCGAAATGATCCTTTTAGTTTCACCAAATAAAAGAGCTTGTACATGTTGTAGCTGGTTATTTATATTACCATTTTGTGTTTAGTTCCTGCACCCCTCAAAGTCAATATCAATGATGGAGGGACTGGGAACCAGTTTACAAAAGCTTTTCATGTCTTCAGGCCTCATAGTGTAGGTTTATTTGAGAGACATGATTTATGGGTCTAGATTTAACCATGTAATTTGATGCTAAATTTGGTTCATTCCAGAATTGTTAACAAACCTTGTGAATTGTTTTGTCTTTTTTTTTTGCAGGATTTGGTGCAACATGCCTTGAAGCTGTGTAGCATGGCGGTACAAACAGGGCTACTCAGAGGCTTTGAAGGAGAATGCAGAACATTCCACTACCGTACATTGCGAAGGACCTCATCAGACAAAAAGAATGGTTGCACAATATGCATGGGGTGGCTACATTCCATCTGCATACCGGTAGGATACCCACTCAACGTGGCTGCCAGGGATATTCTCCTCAAGCACTTCAAGACGCTGCATGACGATGCAGCAACCAGCGCCATCTCCACCCAATCTATTCATTCAGATGTGACAGCTCCATCAGCAACCATACATGTATGTACAATAAACACTTCCCAGCACCGCTAGCACCGTAGACAACTACGGCCACTTCAAAGGTGTCCCTGCAAGCGTCCCTGAAGCAAAACTTCAAACACGTTGATGGGACATCTTCCATCATTGGTCCCAGTGGCCATTTCAACATCTGCGGCCACTTCAAATGCACCACTACCAATCTTGTCTATTGCATCACGTGTACACGCTGTGACATACTCTACATTGGTGAAACCAAGCGCCGACTGGCTGATCACTCTACGAATCATCTCTGAAGCGTTCGGCTGAAACAACCTGGCCTGGTAGTCACCCATCACTTCAGCGCACCATCACACTCCACATGAGCGTCTGCTTTGTCACCACGGCATCACCAGGTACGCAGCGCCGATCTTAGTGGCCAGCATGTGATGTTCCAACTGGGCACGCTCCACCATGATGGGATGAAGCTTCCCCCTTTTGTTCCATCAGCGGTACATCACAACAAGCCATAATTCCCCTTATGAAGGTGCATCTCACTAAAAGCTCAGGTACAAATATCCGGTGAGCACTGTTTCACTTTTGCTATTTGCATTTTCTATGCTCTTCAGTGCTACGCAGCATCCTCACATGTGTACCTGTACATTTTACATACAACTGTATCTGCATTTTTTCCCCATTTCTTGGCTTAGACCCTCTTAATTTTTTTTTAAATAACAGGAAAGCCCTTTTTTCTTTGGGGGGGGGGGGGGCTTTCTTTAGGCAGATAACAGATACATAGCAATACAATGCAGCCATCTCCCTCTTTGATCCTTTGTACAACATCCTCGGTCTTAAAACTACGGATTTGGAAATTTTGGTTGTATTTTAGCATTGTTTTTGGTGGCTCACAGTTGCACTGTGCATGGTGTAATAAAACTATCCAATCAAGAAATCATTTGCCATCAGATGTGGCAGAACTTCTTTGTTTATTTTGTTGCAATGAACAGATAGTAAATTAGATGCATTCCTGCCCACAGCGACAGCATTTTATTTTTTACAATGGCAGTATGTCAATTACTAATCCAATATTGGATTTTGCCCTTTACCACATTTTTTTAGAAACATTGTATACTCAGTGTTGTCCTGGGTCAGAGTGACAGTGAGAAAAAATCACTCAGGTGGGACTCGAACCCATGACCTCCTGCTGACTAGTGCAGACATCTTACCACTCGACAACCGAGCTTGCAGGGGTTGGCTGGTTGGTTCGAATCTTATAAAGCAGCGGGTACCACAACCAAACTATCGGTATTTATAAGATGGCATTTGTGTCGGGATGATGTAAATTCAATACAGGGCGAGTAAAAAAACCGAAACCCAAATGCCGGAACTATTGTTTTAGTGAAGTTCTGCATGTAGCACTTTTAAAATCTAGAATATGAAAGCTTTCTTTTAGTACAAGAATCATTCAATTCACAAATGTACTTTTCAAGTTACTGACTTTTTAAACACAATCACCATTTAAAAGTTCTGTCCACGGATCACAAAAAAAGGTGTGAGTTATTTCAGCAAAACAAAAACAATTCGCACACATCCCTATGTGATTTGTTTTCGTTTTGTTGAAAGAACACTTAAATCTTTTGTGATCCGTGGACAGAACCTTAAACGATGATTGTGTTTAAAATTCCGTAACTTGAAAAGTACATGAGTGATTTGCATGATTCTTGTACGAAAAGAAAGCTTATGAATCGCGCTTTCATATCCTAGATTTTGAAAGTGCTGCATGCAGAACTTCACTAAAACAATTGTCCTGACATTTAGGTGTTTTTTTTTTTTAATCACCCTGTATTGACCCAATATTAAATTTACATGTACATCACCCCAACGCAAATTCCATCTTGGGAATAATTATTACTCCGTTCTTCTTTAAAGTCAAATAATGACTCATCAACCTTGCTTTCCACAATAAGGCAACACTACTTGAAGACCAGCCTCTGACGTTTTCAGCAGCTGACTTACTGCATGCACCATAACCCAGGTCATCAACAGAGTGATCCAAGGAGCAGCAACACAAGAGGAGCAACTCAAGAACAGCTTCTTCATGGACTTCAGTGGCTTTGCCTTCATGCACCATAACGCTGTACCATCCAGGTTATTTCAGAGAGCTTCCATTCAACCAAGTTGGGTAGATTTTAGTGATGGGATTGAAATCTGGATTTTTAAAAATTCGGTTTGAATTCCACTTTTTTATTTTTGGAAACGGATATTTGAAACCAACCTTTCAATAATCAGGCGTTCCATTTTTTTTTGTAAAACAAGCTGAAGAAAACAACTAGAACATATCCCCCAATTGGCTCCATGGTCTCTGATGTGTACATTAACTTCCTAGTGGTCTTCTTGGTCTATGAATAGCCTGCCCATCCGACTTATCAGAGTGTTCCCATCCATTTTTCAACATTAAAGCTCTGGAGTATTTTTGTAAAAGGCCTAGTTGTCATTCAATCCTGCAAACCATACCAAATTGTGAACGGCATACACTGTGGCACCTCACACGTCACACTTTTTGTTGGCATGACTGTGACCTGAATGGGAAAATCGGATAATCGTTATTGGGTTTGAAAAAAAATTAGGATAACTGGATTTTAAAATCTCCATTTTCTCTCACCACTTGTAGATATCCGAGTGACTTAGCAATTTGTTCAATGCATTCACCAGTTAGTAAACAAGATGTCAAACCAACAATGTGGAGATTTTTTTATTGCAGACATGGTGAAACCTTAAACCTCAACACCTTGTCAAGTCACATTGAGAAACGAGCATTTTACATCTTGTCAAGTCACATTGAGAAACAAGCATTCCTTTTACTTGAGCAAGGTAAGCGTTGTAACTGTTATTTTTGTGGTCAACCCGACTTAGTGACTTGGCTCTTAAATTGCAGTTTGAACCCTAACCGTAACCATTTAGAGGCAAACGTTTGGAACGACAAAGTTTCAATGAAGTGCCAGCCTACCCATTAATGATGACTTTCCTGATAGGCTATCAGCTTCGGTCCGAAAGTTGGGCCAGCGGTATCGAAAAGAGCAATGCTCATATGAATAGCAATTTTTGGCAAGGTTTGCCAATCTAGAGTTGGAAAATGTGTGCTTTGCAGTGTGAATTGTGACAGGTTTTTGGTGTTATCACTTTAATTTTTTTCTTCAAAATGGCCGCCAATATGTTTGTTACCGGATTAATTATATGTGGTAACAAACACGTTTTGGCCGCCATTCCTTTAAAACAGTGATAGCACCCAAAAAGCTGCCACCTCTGCAGTGCTACGGGGGTGCATATCCTTGCCAAAAATTACATTGACCATTATTCCCCTCATAACACTTGATACCGACCAAAGCCCCAGGCTAATGGCCTATGACACTACCCAGAATACCATCAGAATCCCAAATATATGTGCCTTATTTTCAAGACAACAAGGGCGGAAGATATTCAGATCCCTACACATATTACATTTACATGTACATTCCAAATCTGAAATCCCTCCAAGTCAATTTTGACAAGCTTTAAAAGTGCAATGTATGCAGCTGCACAAAATTTCATATGAATCAACTGGAAACTGTTGTCTTTAGTCTCTTTGTCAAGCATGCTGGGCTCAAAGTTACTTTCGTAACCACATAATAAAACCTTGCCAATTTCAGTCATCATCATCATCATCATTATGTATTCATTCATTCATTGAACTTGCCATTCGAAGATGATCATCGTCACTCTTATCTTTTCTCACACTCACGAACAACCAAACTCAACTTTCTTGCTTTGGCGATAGCGAAGCACAGGAGTGACGCTCGTTTAGTCCGCCTTTTGTTTTTCGATGCTTACGACATTGTCAACATTATTTTGATGTATCTTTTACATTTTCAACTCCAATTGTCTTTCTATACAAATTACAGTGATTATTTTATCCAGTTGTTATGCTACATATTGTTTTAACCTTTGTCTTTATGTGGAAATAACTGTTGTCAAGTGCTTGATGACACTTCATTGGAGAACACGACGTCCAGGAAAAAATGCTCTGGAAACCTGTGCCCAAAAACATTCAGCGTCCTCTGTGCTGGGTGTTGGACCTCACCCTAAACAAAAATCATAATAACCCTCAAACTTATACCAAATAATTGGATAACGTGCGTCTCTGTGGGTGCGCTCGCTAGAGCTAACTATACAATGCTCACGCCTTCTTATTTAAACCTCTTTTCTAATCCCTCTTACGTAACACACTTGCTATGGATTACTGGCTCTCTATTCATTCTTTGAATTCCTAAGACAATAATTTCCCGCTTTACTACAAACTGCGGGAAATTTTTATTCTGGTGTAGACTCGAATTATTAATCTACAATATCCAACTCTTCCATTCTCGTTCGAAATATTCCTTTAAGTATTGACTTTCCGATTTGTTTACGCAGTGCAAGTTCTTCATTTCATCTCCGAGTGTTTCTACACGTTGTGTTTTTTTAAATTTGTATTTGAGTAATGTTGCCACTTTTGGGCTGCACTATTTGGCATGATACATGTACACGTAATTTGAGCATAATAGTCTGTGCTAAGGTCATTGACATAGTCACGCAGCGGTTTCGCCTTAAATCGGTTAACAACGTCTACTTCATTGTCAGCTTGTACATAATGTACGCCCAGGATTCATTTTCCGCCGAGTTTACTGAGTCATTTTGGGGAATTTCTGCATTTGCAGCCATCTGGAAGCATACGGCGTAGATTTTGGATACATAAGCTGTCCATTTGGTGCATTTCTCCATCTGTTATTGTCCAACAGTTATACAAGCTTACGTTTGTCTCGAACAACATATAATAAAGCTGCTTAGCATTTGGTTGTCAGAGGCATACCGATATCCACTTAACTTTGTGAAAGGTATTGAGATGGCCTGATCCAGCTAGCCCATCTCTTATATGCCGGGGGTCGCAGTACAACATAGCCCCCAGCCATGGGAAAATGGTTCTTGTGTTGTTCTCTTAAGAAAAGACTACTGGTTTGTATCAAGTGGTCGGTATCGTGGTAGCTAATTTGGGTTTGTCACATCCCTGGCGGAAGAGGGAAGCACTCCCGGAATAGCGAAGGGTATCTTGAGGGTATCTTATTAGGTATTCAAGCAGCGGACAGTGATATCGTGTGTTGGTCTCACAATAAAACGCTATAGCGTTTACACAACCCTGACTCTTTTAAATAGCAAAGGACGTTCTTGATCTTGAGGTTTGTCTGAACTAGGAGTGCCTATGGCCAATCTTCTAGTCATTTCCTCAGGCCAGAGTTGTCATACAAAGTCTGTAAACAATTGGATTACAACCATCCAATTTCAATCACAGCTTTAGGAAGATCTTGTTTTGGCCCTCTCCTTTTCTTTTGAAGATGTATGAAACTCCATCATGATAAATGTGACATTCAGTCTCGAAAAATACCATCTTCTCTCCGTAGTAAACACATTTGAAGGAGTAGCATTGGATTTGTAGCAAAATCATGCAGCGTTTGAAGAGTTGCCTGGAGTTGCCTTTTTTAGCAAAATTACACAGTGTTTGAAGATGTAATCTTTTCCAAAAAGCCAAGGAGTAAACACATCAGAGGCAGCATTGGATTTTTAGCTAAATTAGACAGAGTGTTTTAACATGTATATACATGTAGTCTTTTCCATTAAGCCCAGTGGTGAACACATTAGAAGCAGAAACATTGGATTTGTAGCAAAATTACACAGTGTTTGAAGATGTAATCTTTTCCAAAAAGCCAAGGAGTAAACACATCAGAGGCAGCATTGGACTTTTAGCTAAATTAGACAGAGTGTTTTAAGATATGCATGTACATACATGTAGTCTTTTCCATTAAGCCCAGTGATGAACACATTAGAAGCAGAACATTGGATTTGTAGCAAAATTACACAGTGTTTGAAGATATAATCTTTTCCAAAAAACCAACATGGCCAAGGAGTAAACACATCAGAGGCAGCATTGGATTTTTAGCTAAATTAGACAGAATGTTCTAAGATATACATGTAGTCTTTTCCATTAAGCCCAGTGGTGAACACATTAGAAGCAGAAACATTGGATTTGTAGCAAAATTACACAGTGTTTGAAGATAAAGTCTTTTCCAAGAAGCCAAGTAGTAAACACATCAGAGGCAGCATTGGACTTTTAGCTAAATTAGACAGAGTGTTTTAAGATATACATGTACATACATGTAGTCTTTTCCATTAAGCCCAGTGGTGAACACATTAGAAGCAGAAACATTGGATTTGTAGCAAAATTACACAGTGTTTGAAGATAAAGTCTTTTCCAAGAAGCCAAGTAGTAAACACATCAGAGGCAGCATTGGACTTTTAGCTAAATTAGACAGAGTGTTTTAAGAATTAAAGATATACATGTACATACAAGTAGTCTTTTCCATTAAGCCCAGTGGTGAACACATTAGACGCAGAAACATTGGATTTGTAGCAAAATTACACAGTGTTTGAAGATAAAGTCTTTTCCAAGAAGCCAAGTAGTAAACACATCAGAGGCAGCATTGGATTTTTAGCTAAATTAGGCAGAAGAAACCCCTTCGCCTGGTCAGGTTTCTCGAAGAAAAATGTTTTCACATACTCTCAAACTCCATGATATCTACTTTATTTAACACCATAACTCTCTTGTGCAATCTCCAGTTGAAGAGTACATTTTCTGTGTCTTGTACAATGTAGTTTTCGCCCAAAACTGTACGTTGACTCGGGCGAACCACAATGTTCGATCTTTTGGTCAGAAATGCGCAAGTTTTAAACTGAATGCTGGAGGGTGTTTCTCCGGCCTCACTGTGTGTGCAGGAAACAAAACCAATGCCATGGGCTCATCTGCACATAGCTACCTGTAGTTGTGTACAAGCTTAAAGTACACGTACATGTATTCGATAAATGGACATATTTCTAATTTTCTAGGGATGAGGTTGCAAATGCCCAACACCCCCCCCCCCCTCCCAACCCACTAGCCACAGACCTGGATATTGGTGAAAATTGTCAATGATCAGTCCTTATCTGTTGCATAACTGTATTTGCAGCATATTGTAGCATGTCGATTTGGGGTAATCGCAACACAATGAATAGACAACCAGGCAATGATATTTCCTTGAAAATACTCCTTTTCAGTTCACAAACTTTACAAAACAACAAAATACATGCTCACAACAACTCTCAAACATGTCTCTCTGTAATGGAAACTTCCACACACAGATAAAGCGTCCCTGTGATGGGTTTCCCGGTCCGTGTAGCAGGGGCTCCGGTCAACATATGGATGAAGTTGCAAAGCGCCCCCAGTTGGCCGGTCGTCTCGGACTCTACAATATTCAAATATAACTCTTGCAGAATTTGCTGTCTTCATCCTTGGTTTGATGTTGTCGTTGTCTCCCATTGGATGTTATCCCAGCACAAACTGTAGCTGGCTGCATCTTCTTCAGACTTCTGCGAGGAACTGGACTCTGTAGCTGCCAACATTGCATCCTGAAATGATAGGATAGGTGTCATATGAAAATCAGGCTCCTGTGAAATCCGGACTCCTATGCCCTGTTATTGGTTAAACCCTCGGGGTGCCCAATCCAGGCGCCCTGTTATTGGCCCATCTGTTGCTACGGCCATAACCCAGGCATGCTGGGCTGTGTATACGAATCACACAGCAGCCGCATCCCATAGACATGTGTGTCATTTCAAGTAGAAGCCAGGCAAATTAGTCGCAGCCATTCTTCCATGTGCATGTAAGTGTGTCCATGAGTTTATAGATCTACATTTCATATAAATATTGAATACAGTTCCGTGACAGATTGACATTTTATTCTATATAAAAGCAGTTTGGTTTACAGACCAGCACACCACTTAGTCAGTGTTTAAAGCAGTTTTAATATAAACATAGAAAAAGCCTATTCTCTTTCAAATCATTGTAAAAAATGCCACTGCAATGGACAGCATCAAGGCCCTCTGCAACTTGCTTGAAGACCTCCGCCCAAGGAATGCATCCTAGCAGACTTTTTCTCGGATCGCCTTGATTGGAAGATGTTACACTTCCCCCAATACTGAGTCACTAGACAGTACAGCTTGTCTGCAACATGCATGCTATTACATGTAAATGAGGCAGATTCAGTGAGTCAAAGTAGCAGGATACTTTTGGCCTCCCTCATGATTCTTGCTTTCAGAGAGTTGTCGGACAATTTCTCTGGCTTAGAGGTTCTTTCACCTCAACTTCCACTCCTTTATACTCAGACAACGAGCACTTCCACTCCTTTATACTCGGACAACGAGCACTGGCTGTAAATTCCCCTTGCAACAATTTTGCCGGTGGGGAGCTGCTCTCGGGTGAGATGCATGCAAGGAGGGACAGCTGGCGTGAGATGAAATTGTTTTTGACATTCCACAAGCACATCTAGCCCTTTCTTGAGTGCCTCCCGTCTATCTTTCTCCTTCACCAGCTCCTCCTCCAGCGATTTTATTTTCTCCTCACGATCTGTCACTTGGGTTGAAGTGTTGATTTGACGGACGAGACGATCGATCCCATGCAGTATCGTAGAACTTTCTACCCGAGGAGGTTGTCCCCTGCTTTCAGGTACCGTATATGTGTTTCTACAGCACTGGAGCATCTGCATTACGTAGCTCAATGCCGTAATACATCCATACTGGATTTCGCTTCTTCTTGGCCCAACCTGATCTAAGCCGCCTCGCCATTTTGCAGTTACTCATACCAGGGAAATACTCGGCCAACTTTTCAAGCCCTACCTTTATACTGATCCTTCCATTATTATGAAGCTGAAATGTGCTTTCACTTATTTCTAGTGGATAAGACACATTGTACCTGCTTCTTGTACACAGGTGTGTACAAAGTCATGCGAAAACCTTTAATATTTATTTTTTTAAATTAAGTTACTATTATGTTTTATTGATTTATTAATTTAATGAGAAAACGATCTAATTGATCAGGAGGATTTTTTTGTTTTAGAAGGGAATTGTGGCGGAAACAGACCATCTTGGCTGGGAGCATATTTCCAGAAGGGAATTACGGATGATACTAACCATCTTGGCCTGGAAGATCTTTTGAGAAGGGATTTACGGAGGAGACTTGCCTTCTTGGTTAAGAGGATTTTTCTAATTTTGTACAAAGCTGAGGCAAATGCTATTCTGGCAAAAATGCGTCTCTTTTTCAGGTTTTAAATTTGTATGTAGTGCTTCTGTTGGTATAAATGCAAAACAATTTAAAGCAAGACAGTACATGACAGTACAATCTCCTTATTATGGATCGTTCTGCAGAGCTAACAGGTACCCGGCAGGCTCCTATCATTTTGCACGTACAGCTAAACGGGGTACTAGCGACCCAGGTGATCATGAAAAGATGCAAGCATTCGGACAAGCCTCCATTACTCTCTCTCCCAAAAGTAAAATGTATTGGACATGCCAATTGATACCATGATTGAAATATATACTGTATTCTTCATATGTAAGTACTTAATACATGGGACCAGTGAAGTTCAGGTTGAAAATTTGAACACGTCAAAGGGTTTCATAATATATATATACGCGTGGCATTGTTATCGACGCCACGTCCACGGGTCTTGGCCCAGAAGTCAACGGTAGTACTAGTCGTGCAAGTAGTTGTACTAGTAGTACTGTTATGACTACTAAAAGCTGTTTCAGTACTTGCGCTAGCCTTGGTGTTCGCTAACTTCAAGCATCCATCCTGCTCTTCAACTTTGTCCTTCTCTTTTTGCTGCATTTCCTTGCCCAAAATCTCCACACTAGGCGTACAATGTACACGTGCGTGTTACCGATCATCAATAAGAGAAATTTGTTTACCCACTACTGCACCAATGACACACTGCACTACATGTACATGTACAATTGTATGTCCATAGATTGTACTTTATATGCGAAGAAGCAGCATTGGATTTTTAGCAAAATCACACAGCGTTTGAAGATACAGTCTTTTCATATGGTTCGCATATTATCACACCTTCTCCATGCATTATTGCCACCGACAGCTTGAGAACGCATCCCCCGGTCCCAACATTGCTACCCTTTGCTGTGCAATGCTGGCTTGATCCCTTCACCCCACTTAGCCATATATCCATGCACCAGGCGAGTGGAAGTCTATGTTGGTTCACAATAAAAGGCTGTGGCATTTACCACAACCCTGGCAGAGGAAGGACTTACTCTTTTAAATGGCACAGGACATCTTGAGGTTTTTGTGAACCATGAGTGTCTATGGCCAATCTTCTAGTCGTTTCCTCAGGCAAGAGTTTTCATACAAAGTCTGTAAACAACTTGATTACAACCATCATGATTTCAGTCACAGTTTTGGACGTTTCTTCTTGGCCCTCTCCTTTTCTTTTGAAGATGTATGAAACTCCATCATGATAAATGTGACATTCAGTCTCAAAGAATACCATCTTCTCTCCGTAATAAGCTTGTTAGAAGAAGCAGCATTGGATTTTTAGCAAAATCACGCAGCGTTTGAAGATACAGTCTTTTCCAGGAAGCCCCTTTTCCAAGTCAGGTTCATCAAAGAAAAATGTTTTCACAAAATCACAAACTCCATGATATTTTCTATTTAAACACTGTGAATTGCATCTGGTACCTTCACAAACGCATCGGTCTCAGGATCCTCAGAAGCGTCAACTATCCAAGCGAGGAAGTTGATTAGGCAGGGAGGTATCATTTCTTCAGCTGGTTCCGTTGTTGGGGGCCATGGCATTTCTGATTGTACAGCATCTATGGCATTTTGTATCAACAACGCTACCAAAAAGCCATCTTTCAGGCTGTTATTGTCTTGGCGATCTGGCGGTAATTAGTTGATGCAAGTGGTTCCTTATCGTCAGTGCTTGTGTCGTCACTCGTAATGGAGTCAGTACCGGCGGTGTCATCATGGATGGCCTCTTAGATGACTTTCTCTTCCACTAACAATATTTGGGGAAGCAAAACAAAACCCATGCACATAACTACCTGTAGTCGTGTACATGTCTTCTTCATATCTATCAGCAGCAACATGGCGAGCAAAAGTAATCCATGTGCTCATCTACAAATGTACATGAACACAAAGCTACTTGTAATTGTGTACATGTAGCTTCAATTCTTCACATCTATCAGCAGCAAATGCAGAACAAAAGAAACCTACGTCGGCTCATCTGAACAGAGCTATGGTGCCTGTAGTCGTATACGTGTAGCTTTGGTTTTTTTATCTATATACATCAGAAGATGTAGCATTGGACTCTTTGCCAAATTATACAGATGGTTGACGAAAAGAAACCCACAGCCTTATCTGCACAAAGCTGTACTTGTGTTCATGTAGCTTTATTCTCCTTCACATCTACATGTATCAGCAGGGATGTGGGGAACAAAACAAAATCCATGGGCTCATCTGTACATAACTACCTGTTGTCGTGTACACATGTAGCTTCGTTCTTTCTTAGTAAACACATCAGCTGAAGTAGCATAGGACTCTTTGCCAAATCAGATAGAGGGTTTGAGGATGTAATCCTTTCAAGAAGCCCCTGGCATTTTCAGGTTCATCAGCGTAAAATTTATTGACGTGGTCCGATATTCAATGACATCCTCTTTATTGAACACCATGACTCTTTTGTGTGAATAGTTCCTTTGAGGATATTCGCTAGGACTGTTCTTGATAAAATATTATTCAAGGGTAATATATTCGCAAGTCTCTTAAACTTTCTGAGGTTCCCTACGTACATTTCAAAAGGGAAGGGTTGAACACTGCATGTACAAGGTCACAATGGTGAACTAAAATTTGTTGACTGTCCAAGTGGACAACACAACTGGCTTTTCCACAAAGTTGTTAAATGATAGATTGAAAGGCCTTCCTTTAAAAATCAACTATTTCATTTCTTTTATTTCAAATTTATTGATTTTAGTGGTCAAAATGCAAAATTTATAATTTCAGTGGTCGAAATGTGAATCGCCCAAGAGTTCTGATTCCTTCTGTTCATATCGCCATGGAAATACAGTCTGCACGCATCCAAATTTTGTACAAGAACCTCATTAATAGAGAAGTTGCAAGGAAATACAATAAAATAAATTTTCCTGTTACGGAGTCAGCGACTCCAAATGCACAAATAATCCATTTTTCTGCTCTTTATCAATACTTTGGGTAAAAAAAGGACTAATTAATATTGCTGATTTTGACAACATGTATTTTACATGTATGTGCATGTGCGCACATGATAGACTGGTGTAAGGTCCATGCAATAAAAGAAAACATATTACAGTGGATCTGTCTTGATAAAAAGTTGGTAATTACAAAGCCTGGTAATAATTAGTGAACATATTTGTTAGTGTTCCACTATGCATTTACGTAGGTGCACACTGAATGGGGCTGGTGCTTCTCTAGTTCGTCCGCGTGAGTTACATACAGCATGAGCAATGTCACACAAATACTTAACACAAATCTAACCTCTTGCTTTTCGTAATCCTCTAACAATGGTTCTGGCAACACCTCACAACTCCAGTCCTCATCCTCATCACGTACTCCACATTACACCGCCCACCCTCTGCCTCAATCACAACTCTTCCTTTCTACCACACATTCTCACCTTCATCATCCAACTACAGATACTCAACCATACACCCTATTACATCTGTCACAATCACATCCTTCTCTTCCAAGTCATTCTTCATTAAGTCTTCCAACACCTGTTCTTTGCCATACCAATGATGGTTGTATCAGAAAGGTGTATCAATCTATTTCACTTCTTTTATTTCAAATTTATTGATTTTAGTGGTCAAAATGCAAAATTTATAATTTCAGTGGTCGAAATGTGAATCGCCCAAGAGTTCTGATTCCTTCTGTTCATATCGCCATGGAAATACAGTCTGCACGCATCCAAATTTTGTACAAGAACCTCATTAATAGAGAAGTTGCAAGGAAATACAATAAAATAAATTTTCCTGTTACGGAGTCAGCGACTCCAAATGCACAAATAATCCATTTTTCTGCTCTTTATCAATACTTTGGGTAAAAAAAGGACTAATTAATATTGCTGATTTTGACAACATGTATTTTACATGTATGTGCATGTGCGCACATGATAGACTGGTGTAAGGTCCATGCAATAAAAGAAAACATATTACAGTGGATCTGTCTTGATAAAAAGTTGGTAATTACAAAGCCTGGTAATAATTAGTGAACATATTTGTTAGTGTTCCACTATGCATTTACGTAGGTGCACACTGAATGGGGCTGGTGCTTCTCCAGTTCGTCCACGTGAGTTACATACAGCATGGGCAATGTCACACAAATACTTAACACAAATCTAACCTCTTGCTTTTCGTAATCCTCTAACAATGGTTCTGGCAACACCTCACAACTCCAGTCCTCATCCTCATCACGTACTCCACATTACACCGCCCACCCTCTGCCTCAATCACAACTCTTCCTTTCTACCACACATTCTCACCTTCATCATCCAACTACAGATACTCAACCATACACCCTATTACATCTGTCACAATCACATCCTTCTCTTCCAAGTCATTCTTCATTAAGTCTTCCAACACCTGTTCTTTGCCATACCAATGATGGTTGTATCAGAAAGGTGTATCAATCTATTTCACTTCTTTCATTTCAAATTTATTAATTTTAGTGGTCAAAATACAAAATTTAGAATCAGCTCAATATACGTGTATGTTTCATTTTTCTCAAAAGTTGAAATAGTCGACAATTCGTTGAGCAGTTTGGAATGTTTGCATTGCACACTGTTTGGTACCATGATGGCATGGACCTACATGTATATGGAAAAGTCAAGCCAGAGTGTAACTCTAGTTTGGTATTACTCTGGCATGACTCATTCGTAGGTCAGCGAGTTTCTCCAGCAGGCATCGGTTTACGCCAGTATCCATACCATAGAGATTCTTCACATAAGCTGCAGTAAATAAATCAAATAAATGAACATACAAATTAAAAATTGTTCTAGGCACTTCAGCCTGACAATTCTCAGTAAATTTTAACTAGGCTAATCTGAAAAATGGAAGGCTCCGCAATCTAAATTGTGTAAATACACATTAGAAAAACATACTTTAAAAGTTAAGTTAAAAGTGACAATAATTGTACATTGTTTCTTTAGCTGCGTGCAATGCTTTTATAATGCCAAAAATTGGCACAAAATCACATAGGTCTGTCTAGCTTAGGGATGTAGCAATTCGCAAGATTGACTGTTAAGACTTACTTTTGATGTAACTGACACGGCGCGGGAAAAGAGCAGGTCGTGCCTCCTTCCCCCTGTTGGGGATCCAGGGAGAATTCCCTCAGTGTTGCTGTTCCATACAGATGCACTGCTAAGTTCTTAGTGAACAGCGTTGCCTTCTTTTTGACATTGATGCATTCAAGAGGTCATGTGTACCTTAGGCCACATGTTGTGGCAACAAAAAAAGTTTGGAAGTAAAATTGTACTAATTGACGTACATATTGATGACCTCTTTCCCTATCTTCTTTTGACTTGGGCTGTTGTCTCTGCAAAGTCTTCAGTCTCTTCTGGGAATAATTGAAGCAAAGTGTCTTCAGAGTTCTCAATCAATCGGCCATCAGATACACAATGGCTGCTGCCTCATCACAACTCCATGCATTCAGGCGGTCATGTGTCCCTTAGGTCACATGTGGTGTTTTTGGTTGCTTTGATGTACCAGGTATTGGAGAGAAATCCATCAAGCGAGTCCAGAATAAGCAATCTTTATAAAAGAGAAGGACATGTTGATATATTTTAGGGTTGGTTGGTCAGCTTACATCTTCATGCAATGTATGTTATTGTTGGTTTCATTGATTGAAGTGGTATGCAAATGTAGTAAGTGAAAATTAATAATAAAAGACTATATAACTCACGATTTAGCTTTCTGCTGGACTACAATGCCAACCCAGTGATTTCTGTGGGGAAAAAAAGAAGCGGCACAGTTGTATTGTTAATGTTCAGATACAATTGACAACTTAAACACTAGATCTATGCAGTCATTTTTTAACAATGTAGGGAAAACACCAGGAAACATACGAACTGCATCCAAGAGAATACATGCATCACAGAAGGATGTTTGAAACAGTATACACAATCAAAAGTATATGTAGACAGGCCAGCATGCAAGCCTGCAAGCTAGCATTTTTTACATCACAAAATGTAGGGATTAAGTGGACAATCAAATGAACATCAAGCAAATATTTAAAAGCAACTAAACTAAGGTGTTTCCATACAAGTCATTGTCGGTTTACAAAACATAGAAATAATAATACAGAAATTAAAATACAGAAATATTCAAAATACAGCATTTCTTTTCACAAGTGGTACTTACAAAGTACAAACTGATAAAAGTAGGTTGCCAGTCTGTTGGATTCTTGAGGCAGTGATGCCCACTGCTCGCAGATGTTGCTTCATCCTTGGGACAGCTTGGTGATATGGAAGTGTTTGCAGCCAGCTGTTTGGTTGCAAAAGCTGCCCAATGAAGTATGGCAGGACACCGGCATCGGCATTTTTAGTGTTCATGAAGTGTCTGAAACACAAACACAGAATTTGTGATGTAAGACATACTTCTAATTGAAATGAAAATATAAATTATCAAACTTAATTAAAGACGCATTTGTGATAGATCATTGTTACAAGCACTTCATACAATACAATTTTTTATATTTATAGGTTTTTTCACAAGTGGTAGGCCCTACTTACGAAGTCTAAACTGGTAAAAGCAGGTTGCCAGTCTGTTGGATTCTTGAGGCAGTGATGCCCACTGCTCGCAGATGTTGCTTCATCCTTGGGATAGCTTGGTGATCCGGTAGTATATATAGCCAGCTGTTAGGTTGCAAAAGCTGCCCAATGAAGTATGGTAGGATGAAGGCATCTGCCGCATTTGTTGTCTTCATGAAGTGTCTAAACACAAACCCAGATATTGTGATGTAAGACATACTTCTAATGGAAATGAGACTATAAATTATCGAACTTAATTAACTTAGATGCATTTTTAATAGATACTGTGTTTCAACCACTTCATACAGGACAATTTCTTATATTAACAAAGTACAAACTGGAATCAGTAAGTTGCCGGTATCTTGGATGTGTGATGCAGTGATGCCTACAGCTCTTAAATGCTCTTACATCTGTGGAATTGTTTGCTTACCTAGTAGTTTTGATTGGGTACCAGTCTTAGATTTACCTTCGTTGTGCCAATGTCGTCTATGAACTTTACAGACATCTTGTTTGTTGCCTTGTATGACGGTCTGTGGAACCCGTGGAGGCCACTGTCCCACACCGTTTTCCTGTTGATGTTGAATTTGGAAATGTCAGCAGTCATTTTAAAATCTTGTTGTGAAGAAGTGCTTAAATATTCTACTTTGCTTGGGTTGTCTCTAAAAAGTCTTTAGTCCCTTCTGCTTAACTGAAACAAAGATGTCTTCGGTTCTCAATCAATCAGGCCCTCAGATACACAATGGCTGCTGCCTCATCACAACTCGATGCATTCAGGCGGTCATGTGTCCCTTAGGTCACATGTGGTGTTTTTGGTTGCTTTGATGTACCAGGTATTGGAGAGAAATCCATCAAGCGAGTCCAGAATAAGCAATCTTTATAAAAGAGAAGAACATGTTGATATATTTTAGGGTTGGTTGGTCAGCTTACATCTTCATGCAATGTATGTTATTGTTGGTTTCATTGATTCAAGTGGTATGCAAATGTGTAAGTGAAAATGAACAATAAAAGACTATATAACTCACGATTTAGCTTTCTGCTGGACTACAATACCAACCCAGTGATTTCTGTGGGGAAAAAAAAGAAGTGGCACAGTTGTATTGTTAATGTTCAGATACTTTAACACTAGATCTATGCAGTCATTTTTCAACAATGTAGGAAAAACATCAGGAAACATACAAACTGCATCCAAGAGAATACATGCATCACAGATGGATGTTTGAAACAGTATACACAATCACAAGTATACATGTATGTAGACAGGCCGGCATGCAAGCCAGCAAGATAGCAATTTGCATCACAAAATGTAGGGATTATTAGTGAACAAATGGAGTGAACATAGAGCAAATAATTAAAAGCAATTAAGCTAAGGTGTTTCCATACAAGTCATTGTCGGTTTACATGTATAAAGATAATCATACAGAAATTAAAATACAGAAATATTCAAAATACAGCATTTCTTTTCACAAGTGGTACTTACGAAGTACAAACTGGTAATAGCAGGTTGCCAGTCTGTTGGATTCTTGAGGCAGTGATGCCCACTGCTCGCAGATGTTGCTTCATCCTTGGGACAGCTTGGTGATATGGAAGTGTTTGCAGCCAGCTGTTTGGTTGCAAAAGCTGCCCAATGAAGTGTGGCAGGACACCGGCATCGGCATTTTTAGTGTTCATGAAGTGTCTGAAACACAAACACAGAATTTGTGATGTAAGACATACTTCTAATTGAAATGAAAATATAAATTATGAAACTTAATTAAAGACGCATTTGTGATAGATCATTGTTACAAGCACTTCATACAGGACAATTTTTTATATTTATAGGTTTTTTTCAAAAGTGGTAGGCCCTACTTACGAAGTATAAACTGGTAAAAGTAGGTTGCCAGTGTGTTGGATCCGTGAGGCAGTGATGCCTACTGCACGTAGATGTTCCTTCATCCTTGGGATAGCTTGGTGATCCGGTAGTATATATAGCCAGCTGTTAGGTTGCAAAAGCTGCCCAATGAAGTATGGCAGGATGAAGGCATCTGCCGCATTTGTTGTCTTCATGAAGTGTCTAAACACAAACCCAGATATTGTGATGTAAGACATACTTCTAATGGAAATGAGACTATAAATTATCGAACTTAATTAACTTAGAAGCATTTTTAATAGATACTGTGTTTCAAGCACTTCATACAGGACAATTTCTTATATTTACGAAGTACAAACGGGAATCAGTAAGTTGCTGGTATCTTGGATGTGTGATGCAGTGATGCCTACAGCTCTTAAATGCTCTTACATCTGTGGAATTGTTTGCTTACCTAGTAGTCTTAAGTGGGTACCAGTCTTAGATTTACCTCCGTTGTGCCAATGTCTTCTATGAACTTTACAGACATCTTGTTTGTTGCCTTGTATGACGGTCTGTGGAACCCGCGGAGGCCACTGTCCCACACCGTTTTCCTGTTGATGTTGAATTTGGAGATTTCAGCAGTCATTTTAAAATCTTGTTGTGAAGAAGTGCTTAAATATTCTACTTTTTCTTCCCTCTTTACACAAAGAGAGAGTTACATACTATTTCCCTCGCCCAATTTATTTCGGCATCAACTCTGAATTTCACGAACATTTCATTGTTCCTTGCTCTTAGAGTGCCAACATAAAAGTTTGGAAGTAAATATTGTACTCATTTAATACAAATGTACATGTACATGCATTGTGAGGACTTCTTCCCTATCTTCTTTTGACTTGGGCTGTTGTCTCTAAAAAGTCTTCAGTCTCTTCTGGGAATAATTGAAGCAAAAATATCTTCAGAGTTCTCAATCAATCGGCCCTCAGATACACAATGGCTGCTGCCTCATCACAACTCGATGCATTCAGGCGGTCATGTGTACCCTAGGCCGCATGCTGTGTTGTTAGTTGCTTTGATGTACCAGGTATTGGTTAACTTTCTCACATTGTGCCCAATATCTGGTACTGGATAAGCCTTTTACAGTCTTACAGTGAGTCCTGACTTTGCAACTGATAAAAAAAACATAGATAACAGACACAGGTTTCACACTGGAAACATTCTAACAAAATGGACATCAAGATGTACATGTACAATCTTGGTGACTTGATTTCACAATGAGAAATTTAAAAAGAAGTCAAAGTTTAACTCTTAACCATGAACTCTCTGAGATTTTATTCCGAGGGTAACATGACTATAGTGAACAAGAATCCCTGTGTAAATTATTTCCTTTCTGCCAGCGTTTGTTGCTCAACTGTTGTCTGGTCCTGATTGTCTAGTCTCTTCAAGACCAGTGCTTGATACTGTGTCTCTAGACGCAGCATCAGCAACCTTCTTCTAACTCTAGGCATCTTATGTTGGCATCATTTCTTATTGAGTACTTCTCTTTTTTCTGTCTTCTTATTCAGCCACTTTATATTACACCTTTTACACCCTGATGACAAAAGTTGAGTACAGAGGCACTGAGGGCTCAGTGGTGTCAATTCTTCAAATCATTAGTCACTGGTTTAATACATTCAATGCCACACATTATATTTAAGGGTTGATTTCATTGTGATTTTGAAGTAATAATACTAGGGACCCTACATCATTAAAAAAAACCTCGAAACCTGTTGTGTTTCAATTGAAAGTAGAAGTAAATCTTAAAGCTCATGGCTGTTTGAATTTTGGAAACGGACAAGGGGTTGATGAGATATTGTTTTGAAGGTTCTTTCCAAAGGTACCTTTGGATCACCTTTGTGTGGGAAAACTTTGACAAAAATTGGGGTGGCTTTGACTTTTTTTATTGCCAGGAATACCCCGATCTATCCCGAATAAAAATTCTTGATGATATCAGGAGAAATTATCCCCAATTCGCTGTTTGTAAGAATAACTTAAGAATGAAACAAAAATAATCAAGAACTAGGTACGAATTGGAAGCCGAATCAGACCAAATAAGCCAAATTATTGCGATTCAGTGCAGAATAAAATTTATTTAGTGCGATTTTGTCAAAAATAAGACACGAAAAAACTCCAGAATCATCAAGAATGACCCAGAATTATGCCGATGTAGTGTATTTGTAAGCTATTCTTATAATATTTGTACATTTCTTGCAACATTCGTAATGACTATGCATGATTTTGGAATCACAAAGAATAACAGTAACTCTAATAAAGTTGTAAGAATACTGTACGAATATTTAGAGTGCTGTAAGAATATCCAGAATTACATTTAGGATTGAACACAACAAGAATAAACCAAGAATTGAAATTGGTTCCCGAATCACCCCGAGAATTGTGAACATGTCCAAAATTGTCGGGGCGCTTCCCGATCTTTAACAATCTTTCACGGAACTAACAGAATCATCCCGAAGCAGCCAAGAACCATTGCCCGATTTTTACTCAAGAATTGCTATTGGCGGCGATCTTGCTTAAACATGTGCACCTGGTGCAGACCCCTGTTTAGGTGTAAAATATTTGATTCAGGCAGTCTGAAATTGGGACACAAAGCCTGAGATATGCCCTTGTTCAAATGATAAGATATCGAATTGGGCACTTTGTGATTGTGATCACTTGTTAATACATGGAAACAGCAATAAATAACAATATTAGAAAACCATGGAGCAGGCACTTTTCATTTGATAAGTAAAGTTTGTATTACAGAGTTGTGTTCAAAAATGTTACATATTAAGACTTCGGTGAAACTATTACACACTCAGTATATTCCAAATTATGATAAATTTGTTTACTACTTTCTGTTATGTAAACTGAGTTTTAAATGAGTAATCAAAATAAAATTGCCAATTGCCAATGCTCATTAACAAAGTGTGCTATTGTGTTTATTTCATCGGTTATTTCTTATATGAGAATCTCACTTATGCAAAATACTAAATTTTGTTTGTTCATTGATACCTGTGGTCATTGATACCAGTGTGTTACTGTGTTGCTATGGAAACTGATGTAAATGTAACTACTAAATAAGGACAAAGTTGAATTGACATTTTCATTAACTCTGTCAGGACTGGGGACACTAAACATGTATTGTATTTTTACTATTGTGTATTATTTCCCGGGACCCCCCACTTTTTAAACCTGGCACGAATGGGCTTCCGTACGTTATAAATATTCTCATAAATTTTCATCTTTGTACGAGTGTACCGAGTTCCACTAGTCCACATGTATTTTAGATTATCGGAAGTGAGAGGTCAATCTTTGGCACGATATTTCTTTATGTCCGGCAATTTATCAGTTTCCATAATTCGCTGCTAGTAACAATTTTACAAAGGCCTTTTTCGAGGGTGATTTTTTTTAAAGAAATCAATATGTGCCTAACTAATCGCAAATGTCAGAATTTGTCACGCATTTTCCTATTCATCTGGCTGAATTGGGGTTTATGACGAGAACTTCCATTTTACCCATGCCAACAAAGCATCTTTCTTGAATGAAACACGAAAACGAACCCCCAAGTGCTCAAACATGGACCATTACGAATAGAGGCACAGAAGCCATTCCGAATACCAAGAATAAGAAGGTACCTTGTACATCAGCGGCGTAGCTGGAGGGAGGGATATGGGGACGCACGCCCCCCATTAAAAAAAAACCCACTCGACTTCCGCCCCTCCCACCCTCTGAAAATTCGGCAAACGGAGAATAGCAAGTTACCATAATAATTTGGCTTGAACATAAAGTGCCTGTTTCCACGATATTCGTGTATTTTTTCGCAAAACCCCGTTTTTCGCGACTGACCTATTTTAACGTTGAAAGCGAATATCGGTAGCTATCATGATATCGATTCTGAACAGCGCCCCCTTGGGGAAATGGTGTCCAGCCTGCGTAATTATTGTTAAACGCAGGACGTGCAGTAGGGGCCAAGCATGAATAATTCAGTAGTTTCGATCGGGCCAGTATATATGTTTATTCATGAGAACAGAACAATGATATTAACAACATTGTTGTCATTAAGTCATCAACCAGTTACATTAAAGCATTTCAAAGAACGTTGTCGAGTAACCACACAGCTTAGTGGTGGAAAGCGTGATGAGCTATGGATACAAAAATCCTTGGTTCGAATCCACGTCGTCGTTGCTAGTCATTTTCATCGACTATTTTTCTTCTCTAAATTTATTTTCGAGATGATTTTAATTTAAGGGAAAAACAGACAACGAGAACCTAAGTAGCAATGATTTAAACGAAAAAGTGAATTATGCATGACTTGACTTGGCCCCAACCCTCCTAGGGGGAAAAAAATACGTGTCCAGCCCCTCCCCTCCCCCTCACTGTTTGATTTTACGAAGGTCGGGTGTCCGGTGAAAAAATAACCTTTTACTGTGATGAAATTGGGTGCCCCTCCATTTTAACATCCAGCACCCCCCCCCCCCCCCCTCGCTCCCAGGATGAGAACCCAGCTACGCCGCTGCTGGACAGACAGACATTCTGAAGAAACTACAAAAGTGGGAACGAAGTGACGCCACAAAAGCAAGAAAGATGGAATACCTCCTCCTCACAATAGGGTCTGGCGTTAGTGACAAGTCCGCCATACTAGCCACACAATATAAAACCGCTGATAAGCACATCATGATGATATAGGTTGATCAACACTAAACGGAATCCTTCGGAAAAAAAATACTCCAGATTGAAGGTGAATGACCTAATACAATAAAAACAACCTGGCAATCATTCACTGTGCGCAGACGTCACTGCAAACCACGAGGGCGCTTGTGATCAACCTCGGTAACGGTTCTTTTTCTTTGAATCGTCTGTTTCGCAGATAACTGTAGGGAAACATATAATATCCAAATATAAAGTAAATTATTGTTCATTTATCGGAAATGCATTCTGAAACAGACAAGCATGTTCATAATACTTTCGGAAGTTGTCTCTGTGAACTGAACGCATTACTCAAACTACATCTTTGCACTGTGCTGGGCCGGGGTATATTATGGCTTATAATTCACCTGGAAATTACTAAAGCCCAATAGAATTTACACTGCTGCTATTATGTGTATTATCATAAAATTATTACTTTCGTTCTGATGCCCCGAGTTTTATTATTTTCTAGTCAGAATTATTTATATCCAAATATATAAATAATTATCGGGCCTCTCTAACTTTTTGATTTGTATATTTTAGGTCAATCCAGTCAGTGAGCAGTTTGCAGCAGTTTTATTATTTTTCAGAATTATCTATAATGAAATATTTACGACCCAAATCCCAATTGAAAATCCTTATATATGTTACCATGGGGAATTGGCATGACGCAAGAGGGCGGTAAACTTTGACGCACCGGGTGGCATTTTATTTCTTGCGATCAGTGGGGTTATCCATGACAACATCGATATCTCAATATAAGGACTTTAAGTGTAGCTTAATGAGCAATCATATATTTGCTATCAGTTTCAAATACTAAACTCAACACTGTCATCAGCCTCAAATACTAGACACCAGGACGCCACATAGGCCTAATTGCATTGTCAATAACAATACTGTGGACTCAAACAGAAATGAAAGATATCCAGTTTTTGGCATCGCAAGTAATGAATTAGCGCATTGTGTCTTATGGTTCGATATAGCAAAAGTAAGGTTATTTACAGTTAAGTCCATAAATAGTTTTGATCTTTGCAGCAAAGTAGTTTAATGAACTGCAGTTTGGGGAAAAGACCATGAATTATAATATGGTGATCGGTTGCTTGTCTTTGGGCATATTTTAACATATTGAAGGCTACATACAGGGACAATAAAAATTGACTAATCAATTCTTTCAAACCCTGGCAAAGCCACCAGCTACTGCAACAGTTTGACGTATCAAATAAATATTCTTACAGATTTAAAAATATCCAAAGATATGCAAAATACCAATTCAGACATAGGCCTACATGTACGTTTTGCGAATATACGATAAATTTGATGACTATCACTTTTGACCAGTTAGGGATTATCATGCAATGAACAGACGCGTGCAAAATGGGCCAGGAATGCTTCAACCTTGCAGTTTAGAGTTGCTGTATAAAAGGTGGAGAAGGTCTGAGACTGGTTATATCTATCTATAAGAATTCGCGAATCATATCAGTGTCAGTTCTGATCGTTTTACAATTTTATACAAGTTCAATTAGTTGAACGGAGCTTGGCAGAAGTACAACAGCCACCGTACTGCTGCACTCTCTCAAGAGGTCACTTGTACTTTCATAATTATCATGAGATATAACTGTGGTTTGTACTCGGCACAGAGTTTAAAAAGACAGGTCGGTTGTTAGTTTATTCCACACTGCAGAGGGAATGTCTGTCTGTTTTCCCATCTACATCCTTTGGATCTGTTTTGTTCCTGTCTGTTTTGCGAAAGAAATGGTCATTCTGCGATGCAGGAACGGCCCATGGTATATAGGGTTGCAGACCAGGAAATCGGTCCGAAATTGCCTACGCCAGCCAAAATCACGATTTGCATGCACGCAGTATTTGAGCATATATATTGTGGGGCCATCTTAACTTGAGGGTTTGTAAATAATAAGCTGGAAGGCTGTGAACGGTACTGTGAGTTTGCGTTTCAGTGAAATTCCGATGAAATTGGGGCCCTAAAAGCGCTCTATTTTGCAATGGAGCGAAGGCACCGTTTTTCAAAGTGGAGTTGGGCTTCAGGACTATTTTAAGGGGTGATCATCTTCGGATGGAAATTTCTCCTAAAAGTCATCAGACCCCCAAAACTTAAAAGTGAATAGAAAATGAAAGATGATGAATGAGCTCTACTGATTTGATGTGTGTCTGGAAAACCCGGTGGAGAGTTGTGAGTATTTTCCTGACTTTTCGAAGTGGGGGTATTTATCATTGGGGTCTAGTACTGATGTAAGCAATATTGGAGACCGATGCGGCGAATGAATTCGAGTTCGGCGGGTCGCATGATAGGGCCTACATTTATACCATATAGATTTTAGGTCAGAAAGTACGTACCTCTTGAGAGTAGATAAGAGGTGAACAGCAATGGGTGAACCGTGGTCAAAGTAAACACAATCCCCTGTTAGGCATCGACAGGCAAATGTGGTTCTTATCTTTTATTGGTGTGGTACTTTTCAAGAGTTGAGATAATGAACTCTGAGTTGAGGTGTACTTTTCTTTGTACGCTAACTGTAAACTTCGAATTTGTAAATAAGTTCCTTGTAAATATGTGGGACCATGGGGCTATGGCCAGACTGACTGGCTGAGAGATGAGATCAGACATTCATCGAGTGGAAAGGGAAGAGGAATGATAAAAGGCACCAACTCCCAGAATTGTTAGTATATGCAGATGAAATACAAAGAATGGAACCAAAGAGACGACACGAAGTATAGGATCAGTAGACAGGCATGCTGGTTTCTTCGTCTGAAATTTGAGTTTGGCTGAAAATATTTTTTGACAACTGTGAAACGTCTCCGTCAAAAAGTCAAACGAACAAACAAACAAAAGTACTTCTAAAGCATGTTGAAACTATCGAACAATTTCAACAATTCCAGTTCCTTAACTTAAGCAACATTGTAGATATTTACCCATTATAAGAGTTCAATTCGAGGTAGCTGAATAGAATAAAACTATTACGTGGATTATCTTGTTTGAAACATTACCATTTTTGCACCCAATGTCGATTCATGTTGTAGAAATTATGTGACCTTCGTTTTCAGAACGACTTGAGTTGCAGAAAAGCCACCTGTATAACAAACAGCATTAAGGGAGATGCTGCCCTCTGTCGATCATTTTTACTCAGCCCATGGTGAATGCTCACACCCAGTTAATGATTGACACACCTCACCCTCAAAAGTCCGCGTAGCAACTATATTTTTCTGCAACCAAGTATAGTCA